TGAAGTTTAGTGATTTTCAACCCTTGATTCAGAAAATCACTACTATGCTTGAAGGTTGGAAGGCCAAAACATTATCCTTAGCTGGAAGAATCCAATTTATCAAATTTACGATAGCTAATACTTTGTCTTATTGGATTCGGGGGTCTATTATACCTAAGCGCTGCTGCAAATTAATAGCCAGGCTCTGTTCCAGGTTTACTTTTTACGGTAAGATCAATGACAAGAAGCTTACTACTGTTTCCTGGAATAATACTTGCTGCCCAAAGATCTATGGAGGTCTGGGTATCCCTTCTTTTGAGTCTCTTAACCATAGTCATACTTGTTCTATTATTTGGAGATTCTTAAATGAAAATTCTCTCCTGTTCTCTTGGTGGAGAGCCAGATTCCAATCTCTGTGGAAGCCTACAACTAATAAAAAAGCTTTTTACTGGAATCTTATGAGTGCTAAAGCTAAAGAAATTCAAAGTTGCATTACACTCTCTGTTCATGCTAATAGTAATTTGTCTTTTGGTTGGGACCCTTGGTGTGGTGGACTGTCGTTAGCTGAGCATACCTCAAACTTAAACTCTACTAGCAGCCATTCTCCTCTGTTTGACTGGAATATTGCCCATTTCATCCTTAACGATAATTGGCATATTCCTAATGATCTGGATAGTAATCTGCGGCCCCTTATTACTACTGTTAATATTGACTCTCAGATTGGAAACCATCTCTGAAAAGACAAACACAATCCGAACTTTGGGGACTTTAATGCTCTGCATTTTGATAATTTAATTAAGGTACCATGGTATAAATTCATTTGGCATAAGAAAGGTGCTCTTCGGTATGCTGTGTATGCTTGGTTGGCTTTTCGTGGTGGTTTAAAAACAGCTGACGTTCTTGCTGTCCGTGGTATTCAGGTGCCTAACACTTGCTGTTTTTGCCATAGAGAAAGGGAAACTATTACCCATTTGTATTTTGAATGCAGTTTCACCTTTGACATTGCTAAATCTTTATTCCCAAAGCTGAATCGACTCTTTATGAGGCCAAACATACATCAGTTTTATGACTTTATCTGGGAACAAGATTTAAATACTAAAACTAGAAACTACCATTTACTCACTGCTTCTGCTACGATTTACTTTGTTTGGAGAGCAAGAAATGATAGACTTTTTGGCGGCATTATAGATTGTAATGTCACCATTCTATCCAAGATCAAAAAAGCTGTGATGCTTAAGTCTCTAAACTGGAATTAGCTTTGACTGTTGTATTCTGGAAGCTGGAATGTGCTAGGGTGCAAGTTATGCTGTTTTTGCACCTGCTATCTCTCAAACGGAGCTATTGGAAAATTCTGAAGGATTTCGCTGAATCTGCTAGCTGGGAAACACAATTTTGGATGGACAATGATGAATGCTGAACACGTTCAGCTGCCCCTTGGACGGTCCTTCGGGCAACCAGGGGCCATGCTCATATTAAGACACAAGCGACATTTTGACCCTTTCGAGTACTGAGCATTTTTCTGAGTCCTTGGCTTTTTGCCTTTCATTAAGTTCTTCATGTTTGTTCAATTTGTATTTTCTTTTCTTTAGAATCCAAATCTCTTTTTGTTGTTTGAGAGAATGGTTCCAAAATTATTGAAATTTCTTTGAAATGTGTGTAATCAACTTTTCATATTACACTTATTTCAAAGCTAATTACACTCTCTCACAAATTTTTCCCAATATTTGTTAGTTTAATTTATCCAACTTTCTGAAAAATTCCATTTTTATGCAGACATCAGCAGTGAAAGTTAGTGATGTTTCATTCATTAACATCAAAGGAACCTCTGCCACAGAAGATGCAGTGAGATTTGCTTGCAGCGATAGTTTCCCATGTGAGAATATATTTCTGGAAGACATTGACCTTTCCCTGTATTCTGGAGGGGAAGCAGATGCTTTTTGTTGGAAGGCTTCAGGTAACAGTTCTGGTGCTGTGCGTCCCCCTTCTTGTCTTTCCAGTGATTCTCTGCTGATCAAACAAAATGTTCTCTCTACCACTCCCTTCTTGTATTCCTCAGCTTAAAACAAATTGAAAAAAGAAAAACGTTCATACATGTATTGAAGCATTTCATGTTGATTTTGTTTATCAAATGATATTTGAATTCTTGCAAGTTCATGCAAGACAAACTTTTTAGATCATTTGTTCTTTTAAAATCTGTAAAGGTATATAGATTTTTCTTTTTACTAAGATTTTGTTTGGAACGGTTTTCTTACTGCTTTTTAAATTAAATTTTTAGTATAAAAATTTTTATTTTATTTTTACTAAAAACTTATTTTAAAAAATAATAAAAAAATTATTTCGAATGAAGGAATCCCAAGTAAAATTCACTCCACTATTTGGTATAAAATTAAAAAAATTATACATTAAAAAACAGAGCCCATGTGCCAAAATAAAGGACAAAAATTAGCGTGAAAATGGAGCAACACGACGGCGGGTTTGAGATATAGAGGCTGCTTTCTGTTAGCATAGAACAACTTTACTTTATCATGTAGCAACTATTATTACTATTTTACCTATTCTGTCTATTTAAGGAATTCTGTACACACCTTTACATTTGAATAATAATTTCATATTTTCCTTCTTCTTCTTCAGTCTATCTGTTCTCTGCTCCAGTTCCTGATTTGCTTTCATGGTATCAAGAGCCACAAGATGGGAGATCAAGATTCAGCTTCTTCTCTCCCTCCCACCACCGCTCTCACCGGAACCCCCAACCCCGAGCCTTTCATTCCGGTTTCACTGAAGTTCCTCATCACAAACATCAAGAATCTTCTTCCCCACCCTCTCACTGCCCTTCAAATCCACAAGAAAAGATTCTCCTGCAGTCCAGCGGGTGGGAAAAGAGAAATTATTGTCTGCGGAATTCGAATGCATTCGGAGAAAAATTCGGATGCGAAAGAATCCGGATGCGCAACGTTATCGGATGCATTGGGCCCCGGTGATGTGACATGTCCGAATTTAACTCCGAACACGTTCGGATTCGCACACAATAATTTCTCGTGGAAAAAGGCCAAAAAAACAATGAGAAAGAGGAAAATATCCTTAACCATTATTAGCCATTCGTTAACTGTAGACTACGACTACGAGTAAGCGCCAAGCAAGAATCACGGCGCGGGCGGTGCTATTTCTCTTTCTTTTTTTTTGGGACATTTAGGCCATTTAAGGCAAACTCACACACACAACGCATACACATGGACTCGAACCTTGGACCTCTTGGTTGGAAGCCTAAGCTTTCAACCAATAGGCCAAGGAGAGTTGTGTTATTTCTCTTTCTTTGAGAATTCAAAACATAATGAGTTTATTTATTTATTTGGTGTTATTATTTATTTATTTTTAAGAAATAGGAATAAAAAATATATAGAATCATTATCCAAAAACAATCGCCTCAAATAAAGTAATAGCTACAGCTCCCAATTACTTTATCATGCATTGTATTTGCTTCAAATCAAACACATAATCAGAATCAAAGTTCGGCAGTACTCTTAATTAGGGGTGTAAGTGAGCCGAACCGGCTCGAGCTCGACTCTTGTATGGGCTCGTGAACCGAGCTTAACAAGCTCACGAGACGAGCTCGAGCTAGTTTAATAAACGAGCTTGAGTCAGCTCAGCTCGTGAGCTCGAAAGCCAGTTCAAATAAGAAAAAAATAACTTAAATTTAAATATTAAAAAAATAAATAAGAATCACTTAAATTTTATTTAAATGTTAAACATGGCATCTTTATTTAAAATCCTTCTTAAGTTTTAAAAATCCCGACTGAATTTTAAAAACCCGGCCTAAGTTTTCAAAATACCGCCTAAATTTTAAAATCCTACCCATAATTCACAGCCTGCTCAAGCTCATTTACAGTGGGACGAACTCAAGCTCAAGCTCTCCTATCAAACTCGAGCTCGAGTTCGAGCTCGCTTTCTAACTAACGAGTCGAGCTCAATAAAACCTAAACTCGACTCGACTTGTTTACACCCCATCTCTCAATTGTTGAATTAAGGCAATGATGTGAAATTCTGGCGCAAACTATGCTAACTCAGATGAATACATTTATTCAATTTACGCAAGAGCGTTTATTTGACAGTGCAGCACTTCAGATTCAGTTAACGAGTTTATAGCCTTTTTTATATTATTATTTTTGGTTCTGATCCATTTTAATGTCTTCTAAGCGTAACAAACTGTAAGTTTATCCGGTATTTCCTCGAGAAGGCTGTTAAGTGCTCATAAGGCTTATGGAAGTTATAGCAAAACCATTGTTTTTCTTGTGAAATGTTCCATTGAAAACTGAAGAATAAATTTTATGGGTTCCCCACAAGTTCTGTAGCATTCACACCTAGCTCAAATTCTGAATCATGGGGCTAGGCTCCTTCATCTTTTACTTGTGCAAGGGATGGCTAGCCTAAGTTGGATTAGATTTGATTTTAAATATTCAGAAAAATGGGTCAATATTATATTTTCAGGTCAAAAAATAGGTGAACATTCGATTTTCAGATAAAAAACAAGTCAATTTCGGATTTTCGACCCGGTTTTGAAACGGAACGATTTGTTGACCGGACCCGACCCGTTTCAAGTCCAGGTTGACTCTAACTCGGAATTTTCGGATCAGATTCGAGTCGGATTTTCAAGTTGTGTTAAATATTGACACTCCTATATACAACAGCTTTACAAAATAACAAGAAAATTATCCTAGAATCTATGTAATTTAGCAACCGGAAAAAACTCCAGTAAACAAATAACGTTATATAATAATCAAAATAAGACAATTTAGCAGACATGAAAATAGCCAGATTTAATAATTTAGGAACCTTATACTACCAAAAAATAATCATTTAGAAGGATAAAAGATGACGAGAAGAAAAAGAACTACAAAAAAATATATACATATTCGCCTGAAAGAGGCAAATAGGTATTTTTGTTAAAGGACAACCCTAAAAGATCAATGAAGAGAAATTTTAAGACTTTTGAAGACCTTTTTATGTAAAAGGTAGAACAAGATATGTAAGCTCCATAAATCACAAAGAACGGATGTTTAAAAAACAATATCACTAACTTGTTTGTACATTTGTGGACAAATATGCTAAACTTCCAATTAAACAACTTTTAATCTTCAAAATGTCCTATTCAAACGGTGCATACACAATAAACAAGACCCAGAACTAGACCTCTTCTGTAATCACCTCAGAAATATAAGACGAGTAGTGTAAAAAAAGCCGCAAAAACCTTAAGTGCCTAAAGTGAACCAACCATTCTTCTTAGCTTTTGTTTGGGACGGCTTTCTTCCTGCTTCTTAAAGCGGTTTTTTAATACAAAAATTAAAATTTTTTAACTAGAAACCCGCTTTAAGAAGCAGTAAGAAAGTCGTCCTAAACGAAGCCTTAGTCTAAAATCACATTGACCTCTAATCTGGTGTCAGTTAAGATGGTTTCTTTAGACGTAGAAGCAGTAGGGTGATCTCCACAGTCCAACTTTATTCTTAGATGCAATGGCTTTGTGAAGATAATGTCAGAAATTTTCTCACACTTTTGAAGAAACAAATAGAAGGATTCTCTTTCTAGCATTCCATCTTCATGATTTTGTGGATTCAGCAAACTTGCCGCTTCCTTGAAACTTAATGCTGGGTTTGGCTTCAAATAAAGAGCTGCTGAAACAATGAGCTGCGCCAGAATTGCAGATATTTGATCAGCATTTTGCATAATAAGTGAAGTATAAGGGACCCTTTAGGCAGTTGCATCTGTTGTTTATAAAGCTAATGCTAAACTGTTGGAAGGATTTTTTTTTTTTAATAATACGGATATTATGGATCTTTGTTTTCAAAAAAGTTGAAGAACTTTTTTACAACTGCAACACTAACAGATCTAGCTGTTAAAAAAGTTTATTCTATGCAACTCATCTTGATCTGTTAGTTGCGAGCTTTAACTATCAATTAAGAAGTCTTGGGTTCTGAGTTTTGTGTATGTTATTTGAGTATGAGTTTGACTTGATTGGCCTTAATATCCCAAAAAAAAAATTCTCAACGTAAAAATAGTAAAAAGTTATAGCCAAATAACAGAGTAACTACTATAAAAAAAATAAACTGTGTAATATCCCATTGCTTGGAGTCGCGGAAGTTGAACAGGCGAGGAATCGTGCACACGAAGACGGAAAGGATGACTCATTTTATCACCTGGGTTCCCATTCGAGTAGGCAAAGAAGACAGGGGAGCCGAGAGGGCTATTATGTCACTTGGCCTGAAGGGAAGACAAAAACAAAGAGGCTGAAGAGTCTGATTGTTTCCGATGCTTGAAGTCACGAGAGAAGGGTACATTCCGTCTAGCTTTGTCTATTTAAAGGGGGGGAGAGAGAGAGAGAGAGAGAGAGAGAGAGAGAGAGAACAGGGGAGGACATCGAGCGAGCCAGATGCAAAGGAGGAGGATTAAGAGGGTTTAAGCGACGAGGGTGGGGGCAAACAAGAGCAAAGGCTAGGGTTCAACGCTTGGTTTGGGACAGGAAAGGGATTCTAATTAAAATTTTTATATATTTAGTTTATATAGTATAAAAAAATGTTATTTAATGATTAGTATAAAAAAAACAAATAAGCTTAATTGGTATTAGGTCTACATATTGTTTATTTCAGAATATTGAAGTTAAATTTTTAGAAATTCATATTATTGTTGATTATTTAAATTATGATATTTTAAATAAGCGATTACATTTAAAATAAAATAAAGATATGTAAAGTCTTCATATAGGTGTTAATTCTATCAATGTTGGAGTTTGAAGCAAAAGTAAAGTATCATAATACTTATATTTAAGGTGAATACTCATATTCTTATTTTTTACAATAATAACGTTATTTTCTCTAATCTAATTGCATTTAATCAAATGAAAATTGTTAGTTTAATAAATGATCAAATTGAATTAGTCAACATAATTATTAGGCATATGTACTATAAAAAAATTCTTGAATGAAATAATTATATAGAAATGATTGCATGTCCATGTTGATGATAGAGAATAACCTTTTATATTGATGACGTAATATATCCACGAATGTGAAATGAAAGAGATTTTAGAAAAGGAAGTGAAAATAAAAGCACCTTCGTTGATACTATGACTGTTGTATTAATTACTGAAAATGTTCATACATGATATGATTGTTATATACATATGCATAACATATGATCAATGGTTATTTTCAATATTTAAAGGTTATTAAATAAAATTACATTATGGTTTACAAGCAACCATGCATATTATTCCAAAGGTTTTGTATTACTATAATTTTAAAACATAATGTGCTTGTATTTTGACTCACTCCATATTTATAAATGTACACATGTATTATTCAAAGATCTTAAATGAGTGGAAGAGGAGAACATGTGTATTGTAAGCGCGTAACTCCAAGTGAGGTAATTGTCAAAAGAGTTATAATATCCTTTTAATGTATTTGAGGTTTTAGTGTATTTTTCAATATATTAAAAATAATTAGTAAACAAAAATTTAATTAACTATTAGACTGTCTGTTCCTGTCTCGTTAATTCGAGCCTTCAGGCCGGGTTGTGACACTAGAAAAAGAGCTTTCACGGCTATATGGAAAATAAATCTACGAAAAAAGCTGCCATAAAGGGACCCTAAGACGATATAAAATGTCCAGCAACATACCTCACTAGTACCAGGACTAACATTAACAGCACAGTTGAAATGAACCTTCCCAGCATCTTGGAAACTTTCATCTATAGATTTGTTGTCAACTTCACCACTAGATTCCAGACTTTCAAGTCCAGCATTTGTAAAGGCAAGATTATCCAACTCATCAAACCATTGCTGAGCAACGCCGACCTTGAACAGTGCCAAATTAAAGAAAAACACAGGAAGCAAGAATCAGCCCTTTGCTATTATAGATGAAAGTTAAAATTTTTTAATTATGGAACCTTCTCTTCAAGTGATTCGCCTTCCTCTAATACAGAAACTTCAGCAGCAGATCCTCTTGCTTGACGCCAGATGCAGTTTTCATCCAGTGGTGCAGCTAGTACACTTCCTTTTGGTATATCAACATTTACCCTTACATTGCACCTTCCTATGTTGCAAGAAAAATCAGTTTAGTCTGAATGCGAAATGAAAAATGGAATTAAGAAGTCCAAAAAAAAAAAAAAAACGTAAACATCAGGTAGCCCAGCAGCAAAATAAGACATCCTTCCTCACTGTTCGTTTTTAAGAGAAAGATTTAAGCTTCATTTGGGACAGTTTTTTCATTGCTTTTTAAAGCAGCTTTTTAGTTCAAAAATTAAATTTTTGTACTAAAAAGCTGCTTTAAAAAGCGACAAGAAAACCATTCCAAAAGAAGCCTACGGCTTACTTAATGCTTCTGAACGAAGCTTTCTAGTATAAAAATTTTAATTTTTAAACTAGAAAGCAGTTTTAAGAAGCAATAAAAAAACCGTCTCAAACGAAGCCTTAATCCAGGTCTTTTTTTTTTCATTTAGAAGATGAATCTATCAATATTTAGCCAAAATCCTTTGCAATTACTAGAAACCACTCCTGTTGAGTCCGTTCGAATATCTTCTGCTCTTCATTTTACATACCCAAACCATCTCATTGCTTTTCTACTACCTTATAATCAACAAACTGTTACCTCCTATACTTGATGAACTCACTTCACACTTTATCCACACAAGCTTCACCACATATCCAAGGTTCTCATTTTTATATAAATTCTAAACCGTGCATTTTTTTAACTCCCCAACAGAGCTTTTTAAGTCATCAAAATCTACTCATAATTATATCCCTCACTGTCATTTTCATATCTACTAAAATGTAATTGTAGTTTAACAATAACAACATGGATATTTGTTGATGAAGAGGAATCAAATGATTCGTGTTTTTGTCCATATTAATAAGAAAGATCCGGGTTATAAGTTGCTTTATGTATTAAAAGATAAACTCAATAAAAGAGGACCACATATAGTATATATGTAATAAAAAATCATTAATAGACAAACTGAGCATAGATGAAATGAATATCGAGATGAATGTGTAGTTGAACTACATAGACTAAAGGGAAATGATTATATTATATTAATAACATAAGTAGCTCTCATTAAAGAAAAGAGATCGAAGATAGACAAGGATGAATATCCCATATATGGACTTAATTTTGCTTGCAGATAAAAAATTATAAAAATATTTTGCAGCCATGTTAATAAGCAGTAACGCAAGCAAATTTTGACATCGCAATAAAAAATATTATGAAGAAAAAAAATAGTGAGAATCAATATAATATTCAACTTATATACAATGAGAGACAGAAAAGTATTATTAAATACCAGGAAGCACACTGAAGTTATGGACCTGTCCAATTGATAGTCTGATACAGTTACCACTGCATAATAAAATAAAATAAAAATTAGCTTGACTATAAGCTACATAAACGACTTCCGCCACTAAATGGAAATACTAATAAATTATTTTGAACCCACCTATTGAAAACTCTTTCAATAGGGCAGCTTAACCAATATGGCACACCGAGGATGCCCGCATTTGAGAAATGAATATGAGAAAAACCCATAGATTCCCTGTTATATTTTAGCAGACTCTGACCAACTTCACAAAAAGGAAAATAACTTCATATCAGTATTCTTAATTCAAATTGAAAAACATGTGGGGATATCCAAGAGTTGTGTAGATGAAGTCAAGCACCTGCATCATAGGTAATAATGTCATCATGAAAATTCCCAACTGATGACATCAAACCAGCATAGGGAAGCTTTTCTGAAGAAACCGATATGCTAAACTTCTGTAGAGAAACAACATTAGCATCCCTCAAGCACGAAAGCTTCTCCTCTATCAAGTTTCCATAGCTCTCAAAGATGTTTTGGAATCCTTCAAAACGGAAATAATAATTAGCATGAAGCAAGAGGAGTTGGATCAAGACCAGATATGAGCAAACCTCTGATAACCTTCTTGAGCTTCCCAGTTGTCATGCTCATGGTCCATGCTACTGAAAAACTAATATCCGGTTCAAAATTAAGTCATATAAGTGGAATTTTCCAGACAGATATTCACAAAGAAAAAAATTTAAGCGAAGTTCTCTCTCAAACCAGACATAAATACCGAGTCTAAGTGACGCTATAATGCACCGACACACCTTACATAATAAGTATATAGTGTCGGACACAGACACATGGTTAAATGGCTGTGACACGTGTTGGACACGACGAGAGCGTGTCTAATTAAAATAATATTTAATTAAAATCGGGCAGTGTCCGGCATGCCAATCCCTATATTTATAAAAACATATAAAATATAATGTTTTAAAATTATAATTTATTAATCAATTGATTTATTAAATCAAATTTATATTAATAATGTAAAAGCAATCTCGTTCGCCCATCAATCCTTTGCTAGACTCATCTAAGGCTCTCTTTCGCGCCCGTCACTCCTTCGCTCTCTCCATCATTGGCTGCTACATGTGACACCGACAACGCATATGAAGAACTACGCAAGACCTCAACTACTCCATCACTTATGCTCTCTTGATCTCTGCATATGGTGAGACCGACAACACCGATTGCGGCTTGCATCTAACGAGCCAAGGGTAAGAGGCTGCGGTTTTTTTTTCTTGTTCGAAGTCACGTGAAGGCAACAACGCTGTGCTGAAGCCTTGAAGGTTAGAGGGCATTTTATCTTATTGTTAGTATGTTTAGAATTCTTCTAAGATATAGTTGCAATTTGGAACATTAAATAGTTTCATGTTTATGCCTTTTTGCAATGTGAACGAAATAGAGAATATTCACAAATAAAATTTCACATTGTGAATGCAATTTTTTTTTCATTTTTTCCAATGATATCTATCTCAATTAGAATCCTAGCAATCAATGACTTAGGTAAGAAGCCATAGCTAGATTAATTTTAAGGACTCCTAAATATTGTTTTTATATCAATAAAAGTTTGAATATTCATAAAGTGAATCTACAAATTAGCAAAACAAATCCAAATAGGAATGATAGGAGTTTTAGTTTAATGTCTAAATGGCATCCATTTTAAATTGATGTTTCTTTTTAATTAATTGCTTGAGCGAAATGTGAGAATCCATTGACAAAATCACTCTTGTTTAAACCTATTCATATAACCAAAAAAAAAAAACATTTCTAATATGATGCATTCTTAATTTCTATGCAACATTTAAAAATTATAATGTTGTGTCCGCGTCATATCTATGTCCTATATTTTCAATGATAGATGTATCCCATGTCCATATCATGTCATGTCTGAGTCACCGTGTCGTGTCGGTGCATCAAAAAAGTGGAGTAATTACAAAGAAGAATAATCTCTCTCTCTCTCTCTCTCTCTCTCTCTCTCTCTCTCTAATGAGGACATCAGCAGGAGATTTCGGAATGTCTATCACCGGAGACATCATAGATCGACGGCAACGATTAGGAGTCTTTATTTTTGATATATTTCATGCATTAGTTTATTTTATTTCAATTTGACGATTGTACCCTTACTTGTTTATTGTATTGAGTTGTAGCCCTAAGGTCATTTCAGTCAATTTTTTTTCTTTTCTCTCTGAGGCCTATATATGAGGTATTTAGTCTTGTATTAGGGTCAATGACTGATTAATGAAAAAAAATTTGATTTTCTTCTCTCGAGCTTGTGAGTTCTTGAGTGGTGAAGTTCCAAGAAGAGGGCAAAAGCAACACCCAACAACCACAGGAAGTGTCCGGGCTTGTGGTTCGTCTCCTTCCCCTTTCTTCAAGCCGACAGTCCCAAGCCCCCGCCTCCTCCACCTAGCCGCTGGCCCAAGCCCCGTCTGTCCCTCCTCCTACCGGCCGGCTCCCGTAGCCCCTCTCCCTTCCATAGCCGCCGACCAAGCCCCCACAACCACCGGCCCCTCTTCCCTACCACCCCTCCTAGCCACCGGCCACATCCTCCTATCCCCTCTTGATGATGATTTCCATCATCATACTACCTACCTAAATTAGTCTAAATAATTTGGGAAATATTTAATTCAATTTGAATTTCAAATTTGAATTTCAAATACTTTACTAAATTAACAAAAGCTAAATTAGGAAAGTTCCTATATTTAATTTTAAATTAGATTTGATTTCATTATCTTATTCCTGAAGTAAGATAATAATTTAGGAAGCTTTTAATTCCCTCCCAATCCCCTTTATTCCCCATGCATGCCGCCAGCCCACCCTTAGCCCTATCTCCTCTATCTCTACTTCAATTACCCCATGACTTGAATTTGAAAGTCAAATTTCAAATTTCAATTCCCCTTTCCTAGTCAAACTAAATCTGAAATTAAATTCAGATTTTTTGTTGCATTTCCATACTCCAAACCCTAACCCTAACTTCATAAAGCAAGCCCCTCCCCTATCTTTGCCGACCCTCTCTCCCCCTTTCTCTCTTTTGGATTTCCTACTCTCATGAGTTATATTCCAAGAGAAGAAGAAGACAATCATCCCTTCCCCACCTTCTTACTAGTGCATGGTTGATCCCGAGCGTGGCCACGGATTCTTCTATAACCACCAAGGCTTAGTGGATATTCTACAATCCCCTTTCTTCGACCTCAACTGGACGTTGACGACACCGTCAATGCCTACGTCGATCGCATCCTATTCACATTGACATCTTCTATCGAAGAACATCTACCCGCCGGACATTGACGAATCATCGGCCATCCACCCGTGTCTTCCCCTCCGACTAACTTTTCATGGACTTCCCTTTTGGTGGCATCATTAAGATTGTTGAGATCCTCCTTCCGCTAAAACCTTTCAAAGAGCATGAGTGAGGGAAACTCAATGTGACTTTTCTAACGGTTAAGTGGTGGATTTAAAGTTTACAGCATTTAAGTTTATGCTTTATGATTGAAGATATTTTACGTTCTTTGTTATTCTACTCCATAACCAGTGGTGGATTTAGGAGGGGGCACGTGCACCCCCCCCCCCACGGAAAAAATGGAAAGCGCCTGCCTTGAAGCCGAAGCCCGCCTCTACCAGAAATCCATCCTCTTCTCCTCCACATCCTATGCCCCCATCAAGTCTGAACCCGCGGACGACTCTCCCCGCTGGCAAGACTGAAACTGACTTCTTCCTCTGCATTTGGAACTCCGAGGTTGGCGACGCCTTCAAAAAGCCATTACCTACTCTCCGTTCTGTTGTCGAGCAGGTTGCGGATGAGGCGACGACGCCAATGATGGATATCAAGTGCTGCGCATAGGTGGGAGTTGTGGGTCCTTCAGGGCATGATTCATCGAGCTCCAATGAAGTCGATGAGATGTCGGACGAGACTTAACAACTTTATCTCAACCTTGCTGGCGACGAAACTGGGACTTTTCCACGGCCAAATGGTTAGCTTCTCTCTCTTTTCAACTGATTTCAACGACATTGTCTTTCTAGACACTGCGTTCAAGAGAGACATATTTGGTGTTAATGTGGTTATGCCGTGGAACAAATTCCGATATTCTTCTCTAAAGACGGAGAAGATAGAAATTTTGCTAATTGTATGATTTTTCTCTTTCTGTTTGGCTGCACTTGTAGTGAAATGAAATTTAAAAAAAAAAAACCCTCTTAGTGTTGTATGGAAAGAATTATTATAATGAAATTAAAAAAAAATTATGTGTTTGACTAGTTGTTGAAATTGAATGAACTCAACAGAAAAGTCTGCATATGGTATCTTTTGATAAGAATAAATGGAAAGGAATTCATGAAGTAAATAAAATAAAAATGTTGGTAAGGCTGATGAGTTTGCTAATAGTAGTTTGTTTGTTTCATGTAATGAATTATGCTAGTTACAAATTCATGTTCTTGTGATTACCTTTAGGCCAAGAGGATCAATTTTATGTTAAGAACCACGACATGAACAAAATTTGCTTATTTAATCTTAAGAATTAGTCTAATTTGATTACGAATTCTATATTTTGAGTCAATGATTAGATTGTAAGTATTTTTCATCTTATATTTAATAGTTTATTAAAAAAAATTTAAAACTGTCTATGATGGTCCCAAGTCCACATGAAAAAAATTAGGCTCCTTCTATGAAAAATTTCTAGCTCCGGCACTATAGCCATAACAATATTGATATTCTTAAATTCCTAAAATCTCATCTGGTGAAACATTAGTTTATTTTAGTGAGATTAAATCAAGTTTTTATAAATTTCTAAAGCAATTCCTATTTTGTTTCACATCTCTCTCTCTCTCTCTCTCTCTTAGTTGACAAAAGGTTTGTGCCCTATCAAATGCTAGTCTTATGATTTATAACTCAAGGGTGTTTAAGCTATCGGAAAATTTACGAGCTCTGACAATGACTGCAATTTAATAAAATCATTTTACAACTAAACCACCTAATCAAAGGGCCCATTCATAATATTTTATATGTCGTATCATTTGGCGAGGACAATTAGACTTGCAATGTGGGTCCTACCTGTTTGAGAGCATCATACATGATGAGTTTGACTTTTTAAAATAAAACCTGTGAAATTTTTTTAAAACAGTCACATAACCGCATTTTGGATGCTTGCATAGTTGCATGCTTCTCAAAGAGGGAAGTTTGGATTCAATTTAGTTTTGGTTCATGCAACATTCTTAAACTTTGTATTCAAACAATTGACACATTTGTTAGAACATATATAGAGAAGCTTGTTTTCAAAAAAATTTAAAGAGTTCAGAGAGGTTGCATGCTTTTTTATGTATTTGTGCATGCATTTCCAGTGTGCTTGAACACCTTTTTCTTGACAGATTGATATAACTCATTTGCATGATTTTAGAATAGTGGCACGATTCTTTGAGGCAGTTTCATGCTTCTTGAGGCATCACACTTGAATTTGAAAATTATGCTATAATAGTATAATGCACGCATAATTTAAGATATTTAGATCTTGATTTATTACATAAATGTTTATCATAAAAAATATGTGTAAAGTTTCATTTTTAATTTTAAAAGATAGCCTTTCACCTTCTATCCACTTGCGAGTACATATTGTGAATCTGAATGGCACAAAAGTTGAGTTAGAATCTTTAGAGGTACTTCAAGGAGTGAATTTTTATCTTTATATGTTTGCATTTTACTCTGAGGGACCAGCATCAAATTTCCACATATAATATGAGGTGCAGCTTCGTTCATTTCAACCATTTAAATTTATTTGAGTTTTCATTCGGGATAATTCTAAGTCCTTTAAAATGCCATTTAGAATAGTGGCTCGCTTCTTGAGTTAGTTTCACAAGATAAAAGAATGTGTGAGCGAGCTCGTGCATAGATTAGGTTTAGTTTTGTTGCTTTTTTAGGATGAGACCAACAGCAAATTCTTATGTTATCGTGCAGGATTTACGAGATATAAGTAGACGACAAGATTAAATAGGGGATTTAAATTACTCCTTACATTGTTAAAACTCCTAGATTTTATATTTATATAATAGAATAGATACTGAGGAGGATGAAAGATGTATATATAAGTTATCAAAAATATAGGAGAAGTAAGAACTTAGTTCAAGTGAAGTGTATTAAAGATGTAGATAAAAAAATTAAGCTTGTAGAATCACCATAACTCTTTCAGCAAATCCGGGACCTGAACTTAAGAGACGACAATTGCCTCGGTCAAGAATTAGTAATAAAAAAAAATTAAGACTTTGTATTAAGATGTCAACTTGACAACCAAACTTTGTTTTATCCTCATTAACTTGTCCTCCATGAGCAACCATATTTTTGTAAGGAAAATGCTTCATCAATGACAAGAAAAATTTGCATATTCTGTATTTAAACAATTATGATTCTAATCAAAGAATGAAGTTTGTAGGTCCATAATGGCAAACATGAGCAAAGCTAGTAATTGGCATTCCAGAGCAACACTGAAGAGATTCAATTTTATGGCATAATAAAAGCGCTGCTAGAAGAAAAAGCCTTTATCGTGAAGATTTAAGAACGGAATCACAACAAATTGTATTGCGAGAAACAAGAACTGGAGAGGCAAGAAAAGGATAGAGAGGTGGTCGCAGATTACCTGCGGCTTATAATTATGAATTCATCATCCTCTGCCTTCAACATATGCCAGGGAGAAGAGATTGAATCAAAACCAGGTTCCTCTGTTTTTGAACTATCTTTTGCAAACCCAGAATAATTCAAGATCCAGTTCCACACAACCGAGATATGGTCCCAAATACCACTAGATTTTGGAATAGGGTACATAGTTTCCACCAACCTTCTTTCCATATCAGCTCTCCTGATTGCATTGTTCTATGAGGAAAATAAAATGAATTCATGCTGAGGTACTGTGGAAATGAATCTTATTTTGCCCAAAAATATTATTTCAGAACCGTAAATGGTCACAAAGGCCAAAACAAAATCTATTTGACAATAACAAGAAGCATGACTGATTGTCTGAGCACATAACAATAAGAATAAGGAGCACTTTGTGAATGAGAGGAGGAAAACCTTCAGAATTCGTACCTTAGATAAGCAGTGGTTGAACCTAAACATAAACTTTTGAGACCAGAAAATAAAATTGGTACATGAATCTCATCAGCTAAAGTCATTTGTTAAAAAAAAAAAAAAACATGAAGTTCATTAGATAAACAAATGTGACAAAGAGAATAGCTTGAATTTAAAACTTCTATTGAAAATCTCAATTGTCACAACAGTTTCTATTCTGGTTTTCATCCAGCTTGCTAAAAACAATTTAGTTTCCATTCATCGAAGAACAGTCCTGTTATAGAAACGTGTTCTCCAAAGCTACAAGACTTAAAGCATTATGGCAAATTTTATATTTTTAGCAAATAAAAGAGAGGCACAGTGCACCTATATGCAAATAACCAATGAAATGCATGCATGCACACGCAAACAAAAAAAAAAACCTTACACACATCCCAATACATGCCTTACAATTTAATCTTAAATCAACCATAAAAAATAATGGGGACCAATGCATTTTTCAAAAAGGGTAGGCGAGAATAAGGTAGCACATAAGCACAGAAACTTCATAATGGCAGAAGAAATATTATGTTGTAACTTCTAGTAGGCAAAATACAAACATTCTGTAAATAGGCAGAACATATAATTTGGTTAAAAAAATTGTATAAATGATAATCATGGCAGAATATTAAATGTTTTTTGCAGATTTTTAGCTGTTGCCACTTCTAAAGAAATTATTTTACATGATATGAGTCATCTTCAAATAAACATGTAGCCACAGCTACTAATGAATCCCATTTAAGAAAGATATCAGTAAATAATATTTGGTTGAAAATCATTAAGACGGTATTAGCCTGTACCTCAGAATCCACAAAGAACAAGTACCCAGTAGAAACATTATAAAAAGATGCAGCTGGACGCCATAACTTTGCCGATTCAAAATCAGCATCCACAAATCCTGGGGAAGAGCCAATCTGTAAAATAATATTTATTCATTTATGCAAAACGTATTTAGGGTAATTCTTCTTAGAAAGAAAAATAGTTTTTGAAAATTCTTCAGTAATCTTTTGCATTCTCAAAATTTTGAAACATCAAACCACTAAATGTTGAATATGAGACACTAGGATGATGCTTTGAAATACCCTCTAAAATTTATTTCAAGCTCACTCGCAAGACTTCACAATCATCAACATCATGCCAAAAGCAAATGGTAAGGTTTACAAGTCCTCCAATGTTAATTACTCTTAAAAGGCCACATATAGCTTTAATGGCAGGTTTAGCTAAACCTTCAAATAAACCATCAAACAAAGACATCATCATTATTTAAGCTTATCACAAAATGACAAATCATCCTTTGCTCTTGTTCACAACAAATAATCCAATATATATTTATGGCATCATTTTCATCGTATTTGCATTGCAAATAAACTTTGACAAGTTGCATCCTCCATTCCAAAATTTTATAGATCCAAGGTGAATCAATACATTATACATAGGCGTCAACTTATAAGTTGTCTAAGAATAACTTAACAATCTTGAGATTAGGAAATTCTGAACCCATGCGACAACAAACTTAGTTTTGGTAATTCTGGCAACAAAGATTGACGGAGTTGACTATTTAACATGAAGAAAACAAAGTTCAGATTTAGCATCACAAGATTCGTGTTGAATGTAATAGAAAACTGATAGACAACAGATATAGTTCAAGTAAAACTCAGCGGACAGTAATCACACAATTTGGAAGGACAACACTCACAATCTTTATGGATGGAAAATGCAGAAAACAGTAAATATACAATAGGATCCTCAATTGAAGAGGAGGATCCGGCTCTCCCAATTCTCTAGTCGTCGACTAGAGCCCAAACACCTATAGAACCACAAAACTTCACCCAAAAATCAGTCCACCAAAAAACCATACCCTAATCAAATAGCGGGCAAGCAATAGCGAGTGAACAAACAAGCCGCAAGCGAGTGCGAGCGTAGCAGGCAGGTTCGGATCATGTGAATGAGCAATGAAACTGATGAGGACATCCACCGTACATTTCGACATTGGCAGGATCGTAGATCGACGGCTACGATTCATAGTTTTTTTTTATGTGTTTTAGTGCATCTCTTTTATTTATTTTTCAGTTTTCCATTTGTACCCCTATGAGGGATTTGTGTCATGTTGTAGCATGAGGGCATTTGTGTCTTTTACATTTTATGCTTTGGAGGCCTATATATGAAGGCCTAGTCTTTGTATTATATTTTGGAATGATGATTATGAATCAGAATTCCACTTTCTTGCTATATCTCTTTGTGAGTTCTTGAGAGGAGAAACCCTTAATGGGTGAGAGAAATACCCGTCAATCTGGTGGATTCCAAGGTTCGCGGTTCTTCAATTTCTTTTTCATCCCTTGCATCAATTTCCCCCTCCTAAACCTCCCACCGCCGGCCTCACCACCCTCAAGCTTCTTGTGGAAAACCCGAGCCCCTCCCACCTTCGCCGCTGGCCTCCTTGGGCCGCCAAGCCGCCGGATATTTTCCCCACCCGCCGGCCGGCCATCTAGCCGCCGGCCTCCAACCCTCTAACGTGTAACCGCATGCTAGAAGCAAGTCTATAACTACGAAAACTGAAAAATCCTAACTTAGTGAATCATTAATGTTATAATTTCATTGCGGAAACAAATTTCTTAATAAGATCCTGCAATTCCATTGGTTGTTTCACATCAGAAACACGTTCAAATGCGAAAGGGAACGACTCCTCGTGGGAAATAACTCCAATTCGCTCACTTCATTTGAACCACACGAATAGAAGAGACCATGAACGAAAAGGAACGAATAAAGGCTGACCGAGAGAAAGAGGGAGACTTCATGCAAGTTAGAGGAGTGGTCGAAGGTTTGAGCAGCGATCGAGGGAGAAGGCTTGAGCGAAGAGTTGGGGGCGAGTACGGGTAAAGTTCGACACTCGGGTTGGAAAGGTATGGTTATCATTTAAAAAGAGAGATAAATCTTATAAATAGTAAATAAAAATAATTTATTATAAAGTAATTTTAAATAAAATTTAAAATGATTAAAAAGAAACTATTTAATTAGCATGTTAATAAATTTTCTAAAATAAACCTTAGATTTAATCTAATACCTTAAAATTTATGAATTTTTAAAAGATATATTAGTAAATTTTTTAAAGGAAGTTCACTCTAAATTTATGTTATATATGAGATTTTAAATTAGATAGGATAAATTAAATTTATGTTATTACAATAAATTATATTTAGAAGAATAATGAATTTATGAACTAAGGATAAATGACATAGAATATATTTTAAAAAATTAAATAAAGAGAAGAAATTTTAAATTAGAAATTTGTAATAAAATAAGATAAATTGGTATTTAAAATGAGAAATTATGAGTTAAATAAAATATAGATTTTAATTAAGAAAATTAATTATATAGTAAATCCCAAATAACATAATAAAGAGAATATTGTTTTAAAATTCAATTTTAATTAGAAAATTATCTAGTTAATTAGAGAGAGTGAAAGCAATTTTAATCAATAAGATTTAAGATTTTAATTTGAAATTTAAAAAAAAATGTTAGAGAAATTAAGAGCAATTTATGAATTAAATATTAACAACGAGATCTTTATATATAGGCATTAAATCTGTCAACGTCGAAGTAAGGAGCAAGAATAAAGTGACAAGATATCTAGAATCAAGGTGAATACTCATGCTTAAAAAAAAAAAAGAGAGGTGAATACTCATGCTTCTATTTTATAGTAATGATGATGTTTTCTTTAATTCAAGTTAATTGACTTTAATTTAAGTTCATTGACTTTAATTTAAGTTCATTGAATTAATTGATATTGGATAGTTAATGATTATTGTAAAATTCTAGCATTGTTTTCTTTTTAACTTTCATATTGAATTAAATGATGGTTAGCATGATTATTTAGAATATGCACTATAGAAAGTCATTGAATGATAAATGAATGAAATGATTATATAGAAATGCTTGTATGTACATGTTAACTGATGGAGTACACCCCCTTATGGTACTAACTGGGGATCAATGTATTTGTACATGAAAATGGAAAAGTTTATGGAAAATGAAAAGGAAATAAAAAGAAGTACCTTCATTAGTACTATTTTAGATGGTGACTCTTGTGACTTATCATTTCCGAGAAAGGATGAAGATAAAGATAAAGATATGATAATGATAGATGTACAATGTTGATGGTCATGTTTGAAATTAATTTAAACAGAATTATTTTCTATTTGGAACTAAGCATGCATATTGTTTCAAAGGCCTTGTGCTATTGTAATTTAAATATATGATTTACTCACTAGTTCTTTTATGGCTAACTCCTAAAATTATAAATGAACAGGTATTATTCAAAGAATAAAACGAATAGAAGAGATAAAAATGTGTACCATAGGCGAGATGCTCCAAATGAAAGGTATTTATATAATTTTATTTCAAATTGTTTTGAGGTTTTAATGGCTCTTTAAATTTTTTATTGAGGATACTTTTGCTTGAGTAGACGATGTAGGCAGGGGGGGTCAAAATATTTTGGGTTTTATTTTGGTGAGTCTGTTTAGTCATCTACTAAAAATTAGCTCATAAATGCTTAGTCACTACTTAATCAGCTCATTATTGTATTTAATGTCAAATTAGATTCATCCCCCCCTCTTCTTCTCTCTCTAATGGCTCTTTGGTTTCCCCACCTAGCTCCCCTTTCCATGGCTTCCTTTCCCCTTCCTTGGCCCTTCGAATTTTCCCCCTGCCTGGCTCATCCCGTGGCTGGTTCCTCCCCTCTCCTGCCTGCCTATTCCGTTTCATGTGCTGCCCCTTCAGTTCCTTCTGTGGCTTCTTGTCCCGTGGCTGCTCTGCCCCTTCGGTTCCACCCCTTGCTGCTTTTCCCATGGCTGCTTTTCCCTATTTTTTGTGTGGCCTTTTCGGGTGTTGTTATGGCTCCCTTTGGCTGCTGTTTCGGTTCCACCTTAGCTGTCTTTTGGGTTTTCTATGTGGTTTTTTTTTTGTGTTGTTTCTGGATTAAATGCAGGCATGTAAGTTCCCTTATTTTGATGAATTAATTAAGGGTACTTTGGGATGTTTGGCTGCCCCTTTTATGTGTGTGTGTGTGATATTTTTGCTTGGCTGCTCCATTTATCTTATTATCAATGTATTAGGTGTTTAAGTGTCTTTTAACGTGTTTTTGTTATCATATCATTTATAATTTGTAGTTTTGTCGTTAAGTCGTCCTATTAGTCATTTTTTCGGTATATTTGGTTTGAAATAGGTCAATTTTGGAAGACTTGCAAATTTTATATTTGTAGGCAAATTTTCTTGCCTACATTAGTAGATCTAAAACTGAATATATAGAGTGTAATTTTAGTAGTAATAGACCTAGTGAGAGTATTGTGACTTTGGGCGATCAAGTCATTAATAAGAGTACACGTTCTAGATATCTTGGATCTATTGTTCAAAGTGTTGGTGAAATAGATGGGTATATTATCAGCAGAATTCAAATTGGATGGTTGAAGTTGAGTGCTTCGGGCTTGTTGTGTGATTGAAAAGTCCCCCTCAAACTTAAGAAAAAATTCTATAAGATGGTGGTGAGACTTGCAATGCTTTATGGTATCGAATGTTGCCCATTAAAAGAGAAGCATAATACTAAATTAAGCGTTGCAGAGATGAGGATGCTCAGGTGGATGAGTGGCTTTACCTTTAGAGATAGGATACGAAATGAGCATATACGTGAAAAAGTTGGAGTAGCTCCAGTTGAAAATAAGATTAGAGAGAGTCGCCTTAGATGGTTTGGTCACATAAAACGTCGTCCTTCTGATGACCCGGTTAGGAAAATAGAGGTATTAGATTTGACTTATGTTAAGAAAGGTAGAGGTAGACTTAAAAAGATTTGGTTAGAAAATATTAGAAATGATATTTCTTTATTAGATTTAAACGAGAATTTGACTTTTAACATAACACAATGGAGAAAAAGGATTCATGAAGCCAACCCCACGTAGTGAGATAAAGGCTTGTTGTTGTTATTGGATAGTTTTAGCAAATATAAATTTAATTAATTGTCCGATCGTTTGTTTCTATTAATTCGAGTCTCTAGGCCGGATTGTGACAATATAGTAGCGGAAAATCTTTTTAAGCAATATTAACTTTTACCAAGCATTTATGAATATCATAAATTAAAATTGAATTAAGAACTGGCCCAGAGACCAGAATTGCTGAAACCACAAAAAAAAAAAAAACTTCTGCAAATGAAGCTTTGTAAAACCAGCTTCCTAAACCTGGTAACCACAAAAATAGTAATGTTATGTATCATATGAATATGAACCATGCATCAAGAAACATTTCCTTACCGAATCCAAAATCCTGCCATCACGATCAGTTATGATAATCCTATGATGGTTGCTGTCGGATAAGAATATGCGGCCTCCATTTTCATCTACTGATAAGCATCCTGTAAGCTCAAATAAAGGCAAGTAAGAGGATCGTTACTAACAATCATCCATGTTAATAGTCATACAAAATAAAAAAGCATAATAGCATCCGTTCCACCTGCCAAATAGAAAATTGATTTCAAGCGGAATTTTGTGCCACAACAATAATGCAAAATTTTCTTGTGGCTTAAACTAATCTACATACACATAAATAGTGTGAAGCGAACACAAATTATAGATACAATATGTAAGACTTAAACAACCATTTGAGCAGTTATCAATTCTCAAGTTGACTAAACACATAGAAATAAACTTCTAGAAAACGGGGCAGAATAACTGATGAGGACATCAGTAGGAGATTCCAGAATGTCTACCGCCGGAAGCATCGTAGATCAACGGCTATGATGAGGAGCTTATATATTTGATATTTTATGTATTAGTTCAGATTTTCTTTATTTACGTTTGTACCCTTGTTTCTGTGTGAGTTGAGTTGTAGCCCTATGGGCATTTTAGTCATTTCTTTTCTTTCTCTATGAGGGCCTATATATTGGATCCTTGGTCTTCTATTTGGATGATGATTTTGATGAATGAAATTTTAGATTTTTGCTATTAAATCTCTTTGTGAATTCTTGAGAGAAGTGATCCCTAGGATAGGGCCAAGTATCACCCACCAGCCGCCGGTAGGAGCCAGGACTCGTGGTTAGTCTTATGTTTTCTCTTTCTCTTCCCTTTCCCCTAGTCCCACCGCCGGCTATCTCCTCTCCTCCTAAGCCGCCGACCAACTCCACCCCACCCACCACCCGTCGGCCACTCACACCCACCCTCTAGCCCGCCGGCCCCTCCCCACCACTTAATTAACCTACAAGCCGCCACTTTTTCCCCCCATCCCCTTGCTCCACCGTTGGCCACCTCACCCTTGCCCTCTTGATGATGATTAAATCATCATTAATAATTACCTTAATTAGCCCACTTATTTCAGGAGATAATTTAATCTAATTTGAAATTCAAATTCGAATTTCAAATACTTTCCTAAATTAGTCGATCTTTTCAAATTAGGAAAATTTTCAATTTGAGTCTAATTTAATATTAAATTAGATTTGAATTATTTATCCTTTTTCCTAACGTGAACCAAGGAATTATGAAGCATTAACTCCCCTCCCAATTACCCCCACCCTCATCCATACCGCCGACCCCCCTCCCCATTCTCCAAATTTTTTAATTCAAAATTTGAATTTGAATCCTTCCCTCCACTCTAATTTAATTCTCTCAATTGGTTACCCTCCTTGGTAATTAATTTTAAAGATGATTTAATAACCCTAAGTCCCCCAACTCATATTTGAACTTGAATTTGAATTTCAAATTCTTTTCCCTCCTCATTTCATTAAATCTGAAATTAATTTCAGATTTAATTCTCTTTCAATAACCCCAAACCTAGACCCCACAAACCCTAATTCTCTCCACACTTGGCTGGTCCTCTTGCTTGCCCACCTTCTTGGAATTCCTCTCATCACATGAGCTCTCTTGCAAGAAAAGTCAAGCACCTTCCCTCCAGACATTGGTGGATCACCGATCGTCTACACATAGCCCCTCCTCCGGCTAACTTTCGTTGGATCTCTACCCCGGCTTCCTCTCCTTTGTGGTGGCATCTTCCGGATTGTGACGATTTTTCTTCCGCTAACCCTTAAAGAGTATGAGTGAGGGAAACTCGAGGTGACTTCTCTGTTTGTTACGTGGTGGATTGTTTGTTTGTTGCACTATTTATTTTCATTATATTCTTGATATTATTTTGAGATCTTGTTCTTCGATCGTGTGGTTACTTGCCATATCAATTTAAACAATTTTAAACTCGTAAATTCTTTTCAAAGTGAAACATTAAGTTTAAGTTGTGACGCCTAATTCAATCGTTATAAATTTCTACGTGCAATTTCTACGTTGTTTCACAGCAATAACTGAAGGAGAAGTACCTTCACATGTTACTGCTAACATTACAGATACAAAATTTATTCCCATGAAAATACTAGAAGATTGGAGCAAAGAATTTCTGCTTTTCCTATTTCCAAACCAATAACTCTTCAATAGGCAAAATAGGCAAAAAAAACATTGTTGCGAAAATCACAAAAAATAACAGCAAGCAAGACATGTCAAAATATTTTCATAAAAATTTAGCTCTGGATACGATAACAGAGCTACGATAACAACATAGGGCTTTGAGATAAAACCATAGGCAATGTTCAAACTTCCATCTTGGTACAATATAGAGACTAGCTAATAATTTAAAAATATACATATAACAATTCCTAACCACCCTCTTGACAATTAAAATCATAACTATGAACTGTACTTACAAGTTTCACCGTAAACTGAACCGTTTCAGCCATTCAGTATTGGTTACGATCAGAAACAGTTCAAAACCAGCTCAAAGAATTGTATTTTAGCCATCATCAACTGGTTTTGGCAAAAACTTCGGTTAAATATACTACATAGACAAGCCAGACTATCCCAAATGAACCATGGAGGGGTCGAGCTCATGACCTCACGTTGGTCGACTAGATCACATGAGTACTGAAAGCAAGGATGCCTACTTGGACCACATTTTTATATTTTCAATAAAAATTCGAATAACTGAAAAAAAAATGTAATTCCCAACTCTAATCTTTTTTATCACAGCTTAAGTATAATTTATATTATTTTTATTAATTTGATTTTTTAATTCAAATGTCCTATAAAACATTGACTAGTTATGTCTATTGCTTTCAACTAATAAATAATTTTTTAAAAAAAAAGACCAAACTACCTCTTGATTTAATAACATTAACCCCAATTTGATGTTATAACCAAAAAAAGTCCCTTCTAAAAGAGTTGAGAGACCAAACTGGCCCCTCAAAAGAAAGAATTGGAACCATTTTGATCCCTCACAAAGAGTTGAGAGACCATTTTGGTCCTTTTCGCAATCAATATTAGAAAAAAAATCTTACCAAATTGTTCCCCACAAACATAAAGGACTACTGATCTTCTCATAAGACTGCAGCCTTGATCGGATCAGTTAGAACTACATATTCTTTAGCCAGAACACTAGCTTGTTCTACCTTTCACTTCATGCGTCACATAAATCTTAGTTAAACCAATATCTGCTTCTGCTTTATGCATTGCAACAGAGAAAATTATAGCTTTACCCGAGATAAGGGGCGGATAATTCCCTTGAAATAAAACTAATTCAGTTTTATGTATTACAAAAAAGATTGATTGATTCAACATAGCAACTTAAACAAAGAAAAACAAAAAGCTCTACCATTTAATTGCATGTCCTCAAATATCTATAATTTATCAATATATTTCCATTTCAAGTAGTTTGATAAATAATGAAAGCATTTTTTTTTTTTTGTATAATAAATCGGTTGGTGATCCACCATTTTTATAAGATCTCATGTTCATATTAACCATTCAAAATATATACCATACTGCTAGAAATTAAAATACCACATATCATAATTAGGCTACCGTTTTGTAGAGCAGGAGAAGGAAAAATCATATATTGAACAAATGAGATTCTCTTGAGAAAAAAAATAATGAAAAGAAACCTGCATTGTACAGAAGTAAATTTCTGAAAGAAGAAGTAGCATATGGTTCCTCAATAGCTGCATCTTGATTTCTATCACCATTCAACTTCACTGACATGTTTTCTTTCAGTAATAAACTCAATTCATCAATCGCTGCAAGCAAAGTAGTCCGCTTTAAAGAACCATCTCATAAAGAACCAATCAAAAACATGGATGCTAAAATCAAGAACAAGAAGACTGCAAATACATGAAGTAACGTCGATAACTTATCACGAAATATAACTGAATAACAAGTTTAATATATTCAGCTCAGACAGAAAATAACAATCATGAAAACAACTCAAGTTGCAAGCTGGATGCTTGTATCTCCAAAAACCAAGCATATGTGCAATTACATTTTTGTCTTATCTGGAAAATAATTAAGTAAATGACCATGCAGACGAAATGCACCACACAAGTTCTGTTTGCAGTACTATAATGCAAAAAGTGCAACAATGTCATCTTGGATCATCAAAGGATTTTTAAGCGATGGATAAATTCTTCTTGAAAAGCTTTACACGCAAAAAATGATGACTTCCTGAGCATAATAGATCCTAAATTGTATGATTTTAATAATGCTACACTAGCTAATGATGACCTGACCAATTTTAAGGAATTCTGAAGCTTCAGAAAAACTATAATCTATGATTTATTAGGAATTCTGAACCTTCTTCATAGAAATGAACAAGATCAAGGCGGGATAAATTTTTTACAAAAAAAATCAGGCCGAGTTGGAATAGCTGGCTATGTCAACTGTATAATCAGATGTGCAATCGATTGAAACAATATTGTAAATATGAAAGACTAAATAAATAACTGCATAATATTAAAAACTATATAAAATGGAGTGCTGAGATGGCCTAATAAATAAGCTACAGTCATCAAGTTGATAACAATAATAATGTCCATAGCACGTTGCAAAAATTTATCAAGCTCAAACATCAATAAAGGCCAAAATACATGTTCATCATGCATCATCATTATCAGCCTCATCAAAATATTTGAGGTTTGCTTTATGAAATTTTCTCCTTCATTCATTCCCGTTGACTGCTACATAGGCTATATAAATGTATGTATATATATATCTATAGGTATATGTGTGCATATAAATATAAATAATTATTAACAATTAAATAAAAAAGATCCCTCACCTCCCCATCCCTCTTTGATCCCACATCCATACACGTCGCCCCCCTCCAAATGTAAAATCCTGCACGCGCTTTCTCGCTTCCACACTCACGTGACCTCTACTTAATCACTCTTCCTCATTCTCTCGCTCTCTCACACTCTGTTTCAAACCCCCATCAAGCTAGAACGAGAAAATCACGCACAAGAGTTTGTCTGGAGAAGCATCCGCAAAACTTGAAACCAAGAGGTGAGGAAGTCGCTACACTAGCTCATTGTAGAAGACACTGGCACAACTTACGACATCCCATACAAGCACACTCATCCAGCACACTCGCCCTGTGCATCTTCCTTGGAGATGAACCGCATGCACCTTCTCATGTCTTTCTCTCTCTCTCCCTTTCTCTCTCATTCTTGCTTTCTCTTTCTCTCTATCACACATATCATAACAAAGGATTTTGTGTTCTATCAAGTGTATCCCATAATTCACTACTCATGGAAATTTGGGCCATTGGGGATCATTTGAGTTATGATCGTGATTATAATTTAATGATGCTATTTTATGATAAAATTGGTTATTTATAGTCTTTAAATAAAATTTAGATATGCGCAGGTGACTCTTATAAAATAGAGGAAGACAGAGGATTATAAAGCCACTGATAGAGAAGAGAGCATGGATGATGACAAAGATGGAATAATTGTTAAATTCAGAGAACTGGAGAGAGAAATGCTGAATTTTATTGCACAAAACTACCCCTATTTATAGATCTATACAAGATAACTTAATAAAGAAACAAATAATTACAAAATCATGCAAAATTTTTCTAATATAATCCTTCCTAAATCAGCCAACTAAATATGGAAGGAGATCAGCATGATCTAGGTTAACCTCCCACGGATTCCCATCCTAGTCGTGGGATCAAAATGCCAAGGGACGGCTAGGATTTAACACTCCCCCTCAAGCTGGGAAATATATATATGTCATTCCCAGCTTAGTAATCAGTCTCAGAAAGATAGAGTTATCGAGTCACTTGGTAAGAATATTTGCAAGCTGATCTTTTGATGAGAAATGATTGATACATATAAAATCACTATCAAATTTCTCCTATATGAAATGTATGTCCACTTATGTGCTTGGTCCTATCATGTTGAACTGGATTATGAGTTATGCTGATTGTTGATTTGTTGTCACAGTGTAGCTTCATTGGTCCTTCCCACTTAATCATTAGGTCTTCTAAAATCATCTTGATCCATAGTAGCTCACATATTCCAAAGGCCATAGCTCTATATTTTGCTTTTGCACTAGACATTGCTACCACATTTTGTATCTTGCTCCTCCATGTAACAAGGTTTACTCCAAGGAATGTGCATTATCCTAAGGTAGATCGTCTATCTACTGGTGATCCTACATAATCTGCATCAATATACGCTTCTAAGATTATTCCACAATCTCTTCTAAAGAGAATCCCTTTACCTGGGTTCCCCTTAAGGTAGTGTAGTATTCTGTCTACAGCTTGCATGTGAGTCTGTTTGGATATTGCATGAATTGATTGACCATGCTTACAACAAATGTTATATCTGATCAGGTGTGGGAAAGGTAAATTAATTTTCCCACAAGTCTCTGGTAAGATTTTTTATCTACATTTAGATCTTCTTTAGCTTCACCCAATTTGAGATTTGGTTCTACTGGTATTGGTGCTAGTTCACAAGCTAGTTTGTTTGTTTCTTTAAGAAGAGCATTAATGTATTTTTGTTGTGAAATGAAAATTCCTTTATTGGAGTGGGTCATTTCAATTCAGAGAAAATGTTTAATCTACCAAGATCTTTGATCTCAAATTCCTTGGCAAGACATTTCTTTAAAATTATTTTCTCCTTTTCATTAGTCATAATCAAGATGATATCATCCACATAAACTAATAGAATTGTGACTTCCTCTAAGTTTGAGTGCTTGAAGAATAATATATAATCTCCTTAGCTCTGTCGATAACCATTAAGTAGCATAACTTTAAGAATCTTTCAAACCAAGCTCAAAGTGATTGCTTTAGCCCATATAGAGCATTTTTTAACCAGCACACTTCGTTACCTCCAAATTTCTCCTTGAATCCAGATGGAATCTCCATAAATATTTCTTCTTTCAAGTCCCTGTGTAGAAATGCATTTTTAACATCTAACTGTTCCAGATGCAGTTGTAATTAGCTACTAGTGAGAGTAAGATCCTCACGGTATTCATCTTGGCCACCAGTGCAAAAATTTGCTGGTAGTCAATGTTATATATCTGAGTGTACCCTTTTGCCACCAGTCTTGCCTTGTACCTTTCCAATGTACCATCAACTTTGCATTTCACAGGGAACACCCCTTTGCAGCCGACTAGTTTTTTTCCTATTGGCAGGTCAGTGATCTCATAGTATTGTTCTTCTCAAGGGCCTGCAATTCATCTTTCATGGCACTTTTCCTATTTTCATTAGATAAGGCCTCAGAAAATCATTAGGTATATAAATATCATTTAGTATAAGTAGAAAATTTGTGTGAATGTGAGAAGTTATAGAAAGATACAAAGTTGGTTATAGTGTACAAGGAAGATTTTTTTGGTGAACTTGTGTTTACCTCAATTTTGGGAGACGGTTCAAATTCTTGGATATGTTTTAGAGCACAATTTGGATTTATACGCCTGAAATACACTTGCCCAAACCTCATGTTTATCCATAATAGCTTTGTCCTCTGTTCCCCTGGCTTTGATTTTAAGTTTTTGTGGATTGATTTGAGGTGGAGCTAGAAGGTCAAGATGGGCAAGCTCACTTTCCTCATCTTCCCTAATTTCAGTCTCCCCTGAAGATGAGGTTTAGTAAAATAGGATTTTTGTTCATCAAAAGTAACGTCAATAGATACAAGAGTTTCCTAAATTGAGGGATGATAACACTTATAACATTTTTGGGTGGATGAATATACAACAAAGATACATTTGAGTGCACTTGGATTTAATTTTCTTCTATTTTGACTATGAATGTGAACATAGGTAGTGCAACCAAAGATTCTAAATATAAGATTATTATGGGTTCGAAATTCGGAGTAAAAAGATGATAGAATATCCATTGGTGTTTTTAATCCCAAGATTTTTTAATGTAGTCAATTTATGAGATATGTGGCAGTCATAAGGGCTTCACCCAGTAGCATTTGGGTACATTGAGTTGGAATAAAAGTGCACGAGTGGAGGCTAGAAGGTGACCATCTTTGCTTTCTGCAACTCTGTTTTGTTGTAGGGTGTGAATGCAAGAAGACTCATAAATGATACATTCTTTTTGAAAGTACGAGGATAGGGTTTGGCTAAAGTAATCTTTAGCATTGTCTAAATGATTTTTTTTTATCTTTACTCCGAATTGGTTCTGAATCATGATATGAAAAATGTGAATGATGGTACAAACATCGAATTTATTTTTTAGAAGAAAGATCAAAGAGACTAAAGTGCATTCATCAATGAATGATACAAACCATCGGGCTCCTAAGATATTAGGAATTTTTTAGGGTCCCCAAATATCACTATAAGGTAAAAGGGAGTATTACATCTCTCATGTTTGTTTGGAAAAGAAACTCATTTATGCTTAGCTAACTCACATGTTTCACGATGAAAAGATTAATTTTCTAACTTATAAAAAGTTTTTGGTGCATATTTCTTAAGACATCAAAAGACGGATGTCTTAATCTAAAATTGTGAAGTTGAATGGTAGATTTTTTATCAAATAGGGATAACATAGAATAAACATTATTGATAATTTTAGATTTGTTCAACTCTTTCAAGTAGCACGGTCCATCTCTCTCCGTGGCAAGTTCAATCTTCTTCCCCGATCTCCAGTCCTGAAAGAAGCAATAAATAGGGTCAAATAAGACTTAACAATTACGGCCACTAGTAAGTTTTTGTATGAAAATTAGGTTTGTGGATAACTGAGGTACATAGAACACAATTTTTAGAGTGAGAGAGGGAGATAATGGTATGTCTCCTTGGCCAGCTAATGTGGTAAGAGAACCATCAACAGTGATGATTTTCATATCACTTGAGCAAGGAGTATAGCTGATGAAGTAGTGGAGTGTGTCAAGTGATCTATGGCTCCTGAGTTAATGATGCATAATCCTTTCAAATGATTTCTAGAGGCATTTAATCCAATAGATATAGAAAACTTACCTAAAAGTGTAAGAGAAGAAGATGCAGGTTATTTTTCAAGGGATACCAAAAGTTGTTTTAGTTTATCAATATCTTTTTTATTGAGATCTCTGAAGCTGGATTGTATTTTTGGGTTAGGTTGATTTGTTGTAATGATGGCTTGTGATGTGCCCTTTTGTCCACTTCTTTGATTCCACTCCTTATTTGGAGGCTTTTCATGTATCTTCCAGCATATCTCATTTGTGTGTCTTGATTTCTAGTAATAAATGCACCAAAGGGAATCTTTGTCTTCAGGTTTTGAGGAATCCTTATATTTTTCCTTCCATGGTGCCTCTTTGGTTAACACCATTGTTGAACCTTCATCTACCTTTGGCTCTAGCATTACCCCTCGTCGGCTTTCCACAGCACGAATGAGAGAAATAATCTCATTTAATGAGGGCGTCTCCTCTTTTCTAAGTATCTAAACTCTAACATGATCAAACTCCGCATTTAATCCTGCAAGAAAGTCATACACTCTATCTTTCCCAATAAAAATTTTCAGGATAGCAGCATCTTCTGAACACTTGGTCTCTATGCATCTGTAGTTATCAAGTTATTGCCACAAATTTTGTAGAAGAGTTATATTCCAATACAGTTTTGATTCCTTGTTTTGTGCTTCCCACCTAGATCTTAATTTCAAAGATCTGGGCAGCATCCTGAGCCTTTGAGAAGGTTTGTCTGATGGCATCCCATATGTCATTTGCAGTAGATAGAAAAATAAAAGTATCACTAATTTTTGGAGTCATGAAATTCCACAACAATGACATAATCATGGAGTTTGCTTCATCCCATGCCCAAAAAATTAGGATCTCCTTCTTTTGGTCTTACCCCAAGGAGGTGATTCAACTTTCATTTCCCTTTCAAGTAGGTCTTCACAAATTGATACCACTTCAAGTAATTCTTCCCATTTAAGCGATAGGAAGGTTGCATGTTTTAGAGATCTCATCTTCCTTGGTGCATTATAGAGTCCTCCATTTGTTCAAAATTTTGGGAGGAATTTGCTTCAGACATTGCGGCGACAAATGGTAGCGATGAAGGCTATATCAAGCAAGGCAGCAACGAAGGCTGCATTAGTTATAGATAGGATAAAAACAAGGGAAGGTCGGAAATGATGGCAATGAAGTTGTTGATACCATGTTAAATTCAGAGAATTGGAGAGGGAAAGACTTAAATTTATTGAACAAAACTATCCTTATTTATTGATCTATATAAGATAACTCAATAAGGAAACAAATAATTATAAAATCATGCATAATTGCTCTAATATAATTCTTCCTAAATCAGATAACTAAATATGGAAGGAGATCAGCATGATCCAAGTGAGCTTCCTACGAATTCTCATCCAAGTCGTGAGATAAAAATGCCAAGGGACGGCGGAGATTTAACAGTGAGTCTACCACGTATTCCCATCCTAGCCGTGCGATCAAAATGCCAAGGAACGGCTAGGATTTAACAATAATAGTATTAAAGATTATATTAATAAGACTTCTACGCTACTAACTTAAATAGATTACACATCTATTTAAAAACAAGTAGATAGCAAATAATGTACTCTCAAAAGTATTCTTATTATTAAACAAAAATTTATAATCAATATAACTTTTTTTATGGTACCCTACTTTGCTCCGGCAAGCTCCTGGCAGTGCACAACATCTAGGGTGTTAGACAATCATCGCCTTTAGTCTGCTAGGTTTCATGAAAAATACTGCAGGAGTTAAAACAACAAGTTGTGTACAATAAACAGAAACGAAAAGTTGTGTTCTATAAACAGAAACTGCTTGCATATCCCGTACCATGAAAAACTAAACATAATAAGTTTGTTTATGTCGCAATTAAACACAAAGTAAAAGTAGCTGCAGAAAGTAAACTGCAAGAAATGGTGCATATTCTAGCATTTATGCGAGGACATCTGCCTCGTGAAAATTTTTAACAAGAAACTATTTAGAGTATGATAACAAAAGAGTTAAACAACTGCCTTTCATAATGGACTGTGCTTCTGTCTTAACCGAGAAAGTTTGAATTGTGGCGCCTTCAAAAAACAAGTAGACAGCAGGATCTATCACCTGAATAGAAACGGGACTGGTAAGAATTAGGATAAAAGTCTGATTTCAAGGAGATAATAAACTGATATGGCATGAGAATTGCATTAAATTCCTATCAAAGTTCCTCAAAAAGGGAGAAGGTAAAGAAACGAACAAAGAAGAAACAGAAATGCATTGCAATTCAAAACCTACACTTAGCAAAGCAAGATGACCAAATTTCTTTAGCACAGAAAAGGAATTCTAGTTCTATAATTGATAAAGTGTAGGGAAATACGAACTGGTTCAAAGGAGCATTCCAGGTTATCACTGAAGAGGACATCATAGATCAACGTCTAGCAACCTGTGCTGGTACTTGGGCAGAACCAGCAAAAGCTTACTGAATCTAACAAGCCCTTTACTTTGATTTTTCATGAAGAACACCAGCAATCCCCTAACGCCACTCAAAATGGATGCACTGATGCCCCACTTATCATCCACTCTTGTCATTAGGTGCAGCAAAATAAATGAACTTTCCTAACAGTTTATGTACCCTCTAGTCAAAGAAGTGTTTGATCATACTTTACCCGATGGCTCAACCGATTATCAGAACACCCCTTAAAGTGCTGCTAACTCCCAGCATAGTGCAATTATTAATTATGAACTTATAACCTGGTTGCTTTATGGAAAAAGGGACAACTCAGATGGATGGATGGGGCGAGACAACAGAAATTGAAGATCTATGGATCTCTAAGTTGTAATTCAAATAGTTAGCAAAGCAAGTTGTATTTCCAGGGGCGCAAGAACATAAAGCCCAAATCATGACAACTTTTAGGTTAATATCAATGTGTTAGTACATTATACATGGACTATCAGTGGTGCTCAATTTGATCTAATCACTTGAATTAACATGATCTTAGATAAGGCTCATATGGTTCAGTTTGATCTAATCACTTGAATTAACATGATTATAGTTGGAGTAGCACCAGTGAAAATTCTATAAGATCGTGATTAGACCTGCAATGCTTTATGATGCGGAATGTTGGCCATTAAAAGAGAAGCATAATATTAAGTTAAATGTTGTAGAGATGAGGATATTCAGGTGGAAGAGTGGTTTTACTCTTAGAGATAGGACACGAAATGAGTATGTACGTAAAAAGGTTGGAGTACATCCACTAGAAGATAAGACTAGAGAGAGTCATCTTAGATGGTTTGGTCACATAAAACGGTGGCCTTCTGATGATCCAGTTAGAAAAGTAGAAGTATTAGATTTGACTTATATTAAGAAAGATGGAGGTAGACCTAATGTTGACCTCTGTAACATAATACAAAAAAAAAATCAAATCAAATACGAAGTACATACCAGCCAAAATACCTCCGCAAATCCTGTTCAAATCTCCAGATATTTGGCTGAAATTCCTACGGAGCTGCGCCGAATGATCTCTTCCCGCGATACCTACCGAAATCCCGCTCTCGATCTTTGTCCCATTCTTGTCGTTAAATACCGGAGCAAACGAAGCCTTCGGGGTTGTTTTTCTTCTCTACGCGAAAACCCCAAGCGAAGTTCCGATCTCCCTCCACCTTCTGAAATCCACGATCAAATCGCAAGCCAGAGCCGCCCCTACCTGTTCCGATCCCACACGAAGCCGACCTCTTCCCGTTTTCTACTGAAGCCCGACTCCTCCTTTGCCCGAACTCTTCGACCCATAGAGAGAGAGAGAGAGAGGGGGGAGAGAGAGGGAGAACGCCAACCTCTTGATGCCCTAGACCCGCCGACTCCACCTCCTGTGACGGCTCTTCCTATTAGATCGGAAGTTACACCATTTTGATCGCAAGCAACGAAGGAGCTCATTACCGTGAAGGTAACTCTCTCCCTTTCACACGCGATGTTTCAGCCCCATAAATCCCCAAACCGAGAACAACAGGGGAGGGGAGGGAGTTTTATTATTATTTTAATTATAATTAATCTTATAAAATAATTATAATTAGTTATAAATTAGTTATAATTTTTATAATTAGTTAATATTAATTATAATTATTCGTAGTTAATTATTGTTATTAATAATTAAATATGACTAATTATCATTAATTATACCTAATTATAAAAATCATAATTAATTAATTTTAATACAATACGCGTGCCGACCCCGCGCAGGTACAACCCCTTAACCCTAAAACTCTGAGAACTTGTTTTCATTGTTTGTGGCGGACCGAAAAACCGTCTATACACGCCTTTATTGTGTGTGGTGGGATGGGATCCCGTTGCGACGCCTACGACGAGGCGGGTAATCACCTAAAACCCTCATTTCAGAGTTCGCAGCGCACCGGAAAACCGCCTATACATGTCTTTATTGCGCGTAGTGGGATGGGACGCCGGTGCGACGCCTACGATAAGGCGGGGTTATTCATAAGTACTCTCGAGCAAGGGGAAAGCAAATTGTCTTTTTAAGCAAATTGTATGAGGATACACGTCTTTATTGCGCGTGGTGGGAATAAAGATCACGGCCACGGTGTCTTCGTCCGAGGACACTTACCATACACGCCTTTATTGCGCGTGGTGCGAAGGCCAAGTTTCTCGTACTTTTCCCCTAAATGGGGAAGACGCCGGAAGGCTGCCGAAATTTCGGGTGAACAAGGGGTTCTTGTACTTGGACTTTTGAACAAGATCTAAGTGACTTAATTAGCAGTTGAACTCAAATAAAAAATGTGCAAGAGGCTTAAATTGAACTGAAATCAAACTTGAATCAACTTCGGACCACAGTGGACTTTTGAATATTCAAATTGAAAAGAACAAGAACTTGGACTTGAACTCAAGCAAGGACTTGATTTGAACATTAAGCCGACAAGGCTTGAACTTAATTTGAACTCGAACTTGAACTCCACAAGATCACAGGGGACTTTGATTTGAACTTGAGCTTGAATAATAGAGCAAAGGATTATGCTTTGACTTGAACTCAACAAGACAACAAGGACTTGAATATGAACTTGGACTTGCAAAATTGATTACAGAGGACATGAATTGGGACTTGATTTGAATATCAAATAGACATGACTTGGACTTGAACAAGAAATTGAACATCGAATGAATAGCATGGAACATAATAAGAATTATAACTTTGCCAATCAATAACATTAATCATACAAGCAAGGACCAATGTGCAATGAATATGCTAACTTGATATATATGTGATGCATACGATGTAGTGTCCATAATCCAAGGCAATAAAGCATAATGAATACGGGCCTTTTCATATATACCAAAATCTCCTCTTGCAAGTTAACATGCTAAATTCTTGAAAATATAAATCACTCATAAGTGGTAATGAGATCTCATGCAAGTAGGTGATTTGGAGTAATTGCAATGACTGTCAAGTAACATGATGAATAATCAATAGCATGCTACAACATCCCTACACGTACGCACGTTACACATGTTACTTGCAAGTAAGAATAAAGATCTGCAATACATACAAGCTCTCTACAAAGCCAGATGTATGTGCCACATGCCACTTATGGGTAGATGCAGAAAGACTTCAGAAAATGCAGTATCCTGAAGTCAATTTCAATATGTAAAGGAATACATCTACCTGCCTACTTATAGCAGTGGCGGATGTACTACATGAGCCAAATACCACAACAACATGCATGAAAAATGCGACAGATACAAGCTCCCACGAGCTTCTGTTGGAGCCCCACTACGAATATTACATACTATCTATGAATAAATGCCAAAGGACTACAACAAATGCAAGCTCTTACGAGTCATTCTGAGAATCTCGTTGTACAGTACATTATCTGCAAGCAAACATGAAAGAACTATAACGAATACAAGCATCGACAAACACAAGGTAGGAGATTAGTTAGTGCACTACAATCTACCTGCATAAATCATACAAGTAAAGCACGACAGTCTACCTGTATGAAGCAGCGAACAAACTCTATTCAGAAGTTGCTACGCCATGGCACCGGATCCGCAACATTCATGCAAGCGGACAGAAGGCGTTTACAAATATTTCAAATACCCTTGCACATGCACCATAATTTGTATACACATAGGTACACAAGGGGTAACTACAATTACAAACACCCGCATGAGCCCCAGCGAGCGTGTTGTGGGTACACACGTGACGTCTAGGGATGCTGCGCGGGTCAATAAATGTGAACCCAATCCTCCTAAGCAGGTAAATAGGAGTTGACAAGATTCAACAAATAATTATAAATGCCCCCAAATACCCGCATGGGCCCCGGCGAACGTGTTATTGGTACACACGTCACTTCTAGGGATGCTGCGCGAGTAATAAGTGAATTCAAGTCTGAGCCCGATCCTTCTATACGGGTAGATAGGAGTCGATACGACTCGAACCATCAAATAAATATTCGGTTGTGGCAACTTGTATATTTATTTTGATACATTCATATTAGGCCTTCAAGGCCTATAATCAAGATAATTCACTAATAAAGGCATAAAGCCTACGAAACCCGATCCTCCTAAAAAGGTAAATAGGAGTAGACAGGGTTTGAATCATTGGATAAATATGCGGTCATGAAGTTGACCAAAATATTTATTTCATACATTCATATTAGGCCTTCAAGGCCTTTAACAAAAAAAATTTACAAACAAATGCATGAAACCCGATACTCTGTTGACAGCTCAACAGAGTTAACAAGGTTCATCCACAAAATGGAAATGACCCCAAACACCCTGATGATGGCCGTGTTGAATATTTATCTCAACCGGAGGAGCTCACAAATACTTTCAAATGTCTTCCAGGCTCTAACCAAATACTCGAAATCTAAAAATCCCAAAATCCAAAAATATCTAAAATTGAAATCCAACCATTAAAGCACTTAAAGCAAAATCCATCCACCCTCCGCAATAGTTTGCCAGGGTGGACAAATTGAAAAATTACTTGAGCTCACAAAGAGCTAATGTCTGGTCGAAAATATCACTAGGATCCATTCTCAAACAAGTCTCTTGCCAATAAGGATGTGGTACGTGTCCTCTAACCAGCGGTTTCGCCTCCAAATGACACCGCAGGATAAACGGTTATGACTCGGGGCCCTCTGAACTGAGTGAATTTGCCTCCAAATGGCACCACGAAATACCGGTTATGGCCAGAGCCAATACGCTCCTTAGTGGCATCAAATCCTTGAGATATGAATCAATATGATATGATCGATAGGGCACAAAGCCCTCTGTTAGCTAAGGTAGATTCAAATTTTCCCCCTTAGATAAACATTCACCCCAGGTCTACAAGGTCCCTTGGACGAAGCAACCCATGGATGCCGATAAGGATCCTTCTGTCAGGTTGGGTCGACTACCTGCTCTGACTAAGTAAACCAGAGCGAAATCTCTAGGTAGTGTCTTATCTACAAACCCATCTGCCTTCCAAAATTTATCCCGGAACTAAATCCGTTAAAACTCCCCCGAAAGAAAAACTGAAAAAACAAACAGTCGAGCGAAGGCCGGGGCTGAATTTTCGGAGCCCACAACCTAAAAAGACTTGGTTAGAAAATATTAGAAATGACCTTTCTTTATTAGATTTTAAATGAGAATTTAACTCATAACATGACACAATTGAGAAAAAGAATTCATGTAGCCGACCCCACATAGTGGGATAAAGACTTGATGTTGTTGTTTGTTTGTTTGTTCACTTGAATTAACAAGATTCTAGATAAGGCTCATATGAATAATCAAGAAACGTAAGAGGGCACTTCATTTATCGGTTCAAACTCATCTTACTGTCACGTAAATGACAATGTTTCTACTATATAGACAATCAAGCCTCTAAACTAACCACACAACGAATTTCTATAATTTTCAACTGCCAATAATGTGAATAGTTTCTGTCCTCTTATCAAGTAATCTGAACCATAAATGTTACCTTCTCTAATTTAAAAACACATGCTTAAAACTCAAAATGCACGCAGGCTACCTTAATTAAATTTCTGTCTAATAACAAGACTGGAAATGAGATGTATTCCTCCATGATGGTTTTAAGAACCCCGGAATGTATCTCCACTGAGTTAGCTGAACTAACACATTGCACACCAATAATATTAAGCTTCGGATATCTGCAAAAAAGGATAATTAAAATGTTTGCATTAAAATGATAAAAGCAACACGGTGTAGGGTAGTTGTGAGTGAATTACCTTTTCTGAAGCAATTTTATTCCTTCAATCATTAGAATGCGATCATGATGATCAATTAAAGAGTCATCATTAATGTAAGCATTCACAAGAATCAAAATGATTCCTCCTTGGTTCAAGAATTTGTTGTCATCACAAGCAATGTTCAACCAATGATGATTCAGCCCTGCATTCAAGCAATGACTGCAGCCATTAAAAATGCCACCATCTTTTTGGCAGCACTTTCTTTTTAAATAAGTCTTCATAAAAAACAATAATAAATAAATACAAATCTTCATTTAGGACATCTTTTTATTTCTTTTGTGATAGAAAAAGCAGCTAACAAAAAATATTAACTATTTTGATGAAAACTTTGCCCAAGTTCTTCAAAATTTTAGCTTAGATGAGTTACTTTTGAAAGAGTGTGGTTGAGAAAATAGCTTTTAGCGGCATAAGCTGCCGTAAACAAAGCTTAAATTAGATTCAAAATATATTCCAAAAAATAGTATGCATGAAATAGTATTGTAAGATCAAAGTATCAAAACAAAAAAAGTACAAATATTCTAGAATATAAATTTCAAGATGTCATTCTAGTAATTCAACACTTTCACCAAGTTTATGGAGGCTAAAAAGCATTTGATTGCATGCTAGAAATAATATTGTTAATCGCTATGCTAGAAATAATATTGTTGATCGCTATCCTAAGACTGGAGAAAAGTTTATAAACAGACTGAGTTAACTTTAAATGAAGCTCAAAACATCAACAAAGTAGCACCAAAGAACTTGAGAGTGTCAACAATAAAAAAGGTAAAAAAAATGCAAAAAATAGAGGTGGCGAGTAGTAATCATTTCAAGAGGAAGCAACACAATCCACAACGAGCTATGAATCAATATAGCATTTATGTGCAAGAATCCTCTCTTCTCACAATCAGGAAATATATTGACTTATGGGTTGTTTCCTTTGAGACATGCTAAGAAAAGAGCCTACCTTCAAGCTCATAGCAAGCTGATTTGATGATGTTAAATAACTCTTCCCCAGGTACAAAATTATTTTGTAATTTTGACAAATGAGACCCTGAAAAACAACTGCTACTTATGAGTTAGAAACTAGAAAAGAAAACTTGCCAGAGAAGCATCAATAGGGGGAAAAAACAAATAAGTAGACAAAATAATCAATATTTCATAGAACAAAATTCAAGCAACAAACTAAGGAGCTATTGTTTCGTCACATGTGCCAAGTAATACTATGTTATTAGTAAAAGTTGGAAGTTCGGTTTGCTAATATTATTAATAAATTTGAATATGATATCTTTATATTTTGCTGGCACAGATATGCTTAAGCTATTTGAATTGTAATTAAAAAAAGATTGTGCACAAACATGTTAGTTTAGTTTACCCGGGCCCTAGATTCCTTCTCCTTCCATCTTTCTATTTTGTCTCCAGCTTTATCATCCAGAACAATCATCAGCTACTCAACCATCATCTCATTGCAAATGTGCTTTCTGCCGATGGGACAAGCCACCAATGAAATACTGCACATCATACTGTTTGTTTCATGCATTGTCTTGATTTTTTTTTCTATTCAAGTGGTGCATTATGCAAACACTCAACTTAATTAAAGTGACACCTCAATGACCTCTCTTTTTTTTCTCCTTAATTAAAAATTTTATTTTGGCATTCCAATATGTCAATCAATTGATTTCATTTTAATCAAGGATCAGTTGTAAAAAGTTACTAAACTTCATAAAACTAAAAAGTGTAACTAATGCTAGATACTGATACAGGACAATTTAGGATTAGGATTTCCTGATACAACTAAAATGTTCCAATTCATGAACATCACACAAGGGGCTTACAATTTGCATATCACAAACTACAAAGTAATCCAACAATTTGCTTTCTTTGAATGCAAACAATAAATACAAGAATTATAACTTTAAAGATAAAGTAATGATCAAATAAATGAGCAAAAAATTTTGAAGCATTCCTAAACCCTCGTCTAAGACCTTTAATGAAGCAAGTTATTGTAACAAAATAGTCCAAAGGCAAATCATTTGTAACTAAAAGATGTGTAACCCTGTATAATATTCAGCATACTAGAATCTTTTTATTTATAACCCTAAAATTGATTAAGCAATTCATCATGATATTTACCGAATGTTATATATAATACTATTTAGGCATATGTTTCAAGCTAGGCCACATCAACTTTATTTTACTTGAAGCACTTTTCATCAACTAATTGAATATATCTCATTAATTTTGTTTCAAAAACTTTAATTTTTTGAAATCAAATAAAGGTGTTCAAATAAATCTTCTAAATGATTGATCTGCTTAGAAATCTGCTCAGAAATTTTCCTAAAATCATAACCCCTCTGTAGGATGTAAGAATTTACTTTTGAACCTTATTATAGTTATGGTGTTATTGGCTAAAATCATACCTTACCCAATTTCATTTAAATTGCTCCATTAATTAGTACTTTGACCCAATTAATTTGTCCAATATTTAGCTAACATAATATTACAACCAGAAGCAATGATACCAATTTAATGCGTGATAATTTTAGGTTAAAGTTTCCTAATGCAACTACAATAATAATGTGATGTATACAAATCACCAAAGAGGGTCAAGATTTGCATATTACAAACCACTAAATAAGCTAATAACTTACTATACAACAACATCAAGCCTTTATCCCACTACGTGGGGTCGGCTAAGCTAATAACTTACTATAGAAAAACTAAAACCCAAACAATAATTAAATGGTTGAATAAATTAAAGAAATTAGTGAGAAATTCGAACAATATAAAATTAGCAAGTAGCTGTAATTTGATTACAACAATTAGATTCCTAAACATGTCAAATTTAAACAACAACAAGGCCATTAACATACAAATAACAAAATATGTAGAAGAAATTAGATAAGGAAAGAATTTACAAAAGTAGGGAATTTAGCCGCACGCCCATATAAGGAGATTACATATATCAAAATTAAATAGTCATACTTAAGTTGACCTCCATAACACAACTGCACCTCCACTGCTTAACCAACCAACCCAGCTGCAAATTTGTGTAGTCTACTACCTTCGACCAACACCTACTCCAATTCTCTCCCAACTTCCAACAACTGCCTGCCCCAATCCAAGCACCGGCAACCTCCCCCGACCTCACTCCTACCTACTCAAACCCGTAATCATTCCTACTCCTCAATACCCTGCTGCATTGTTTAAAATTGCACAATATGAGGCTCGCCTCTGCGCAATTCCAATGAAAAAAGCCTCGAGGCTTACGCCTTGGTTGAGGCCCACCCTGAGGCAATATAGATGATGTTCTAGTTGTTGCCAACTATTTCAGCCTTTTTTAGAAATTAAATGTAAATTAGTAGGGAACTGAGAAAAAAGGAATTTGGAGTTGAACTTAATATTATATGATACTTTTATACTATATACAATTACTTTGGAGTGGAACTGAGAAAGAAGGATATAAATTACTTCGCTTTCTATTGCAATGTTTTGGTATTTTATATGCAAAGTAGTTCTTATTTATCAAACATGGTGATACAGGTGCAATATTTCTTTGGTGTATCGGATAGCAAGCAGCCACACTATACGATCTACATTCACCGTCAACCATCCAAGTTAAAACCACTCAAGTGAATGTGAGGATAATATCTTCCTATTATCAAATCTTTACATGAAATGAAAGGCAAGTATTTTATAATATTCCACATAATGGTATCACAGGTGATGAGTATGAAGACAAAGTAAAACAAGTAATAAGCCGTTACACAAAAAAGTAACATCTGCCAAAGAAAAGTGAAAAGGAAAAAAACCTCAAGACTACCTCCTCACACAATTCATCATTGCCAAAAGTTCACCTCTCGATTTATTCCACTGAAATGGCAATGCAGTTGAAAATCTACCAAATAATTTGCTGAATGATGGTGGAACTGAACAGCAAACAAAATTGAATACGAATAACTGAAGAATCACCAAACCTGATTAAATAAACTCGGTACTATGAAATGAGAATTCAATCTAAACAATTTATCCTAATTGAAATTTTAAATGACACTTTATAGAGGCACGATTGATGATATCAGAACAAAGTTTTTTTTTTTTTTAGCCAGCCTACCTGACAAGGCCCAAGTCCTTAAGGGTTGCAGTTTAGACTTGAATCCAGCACATGTCCAAATATATTTTTCATAAAAGTTCCTCATGCGATAGTTAGTTGTAGTAAACCAATAAATGCAGGGGGGAAATATTTGAAGAAATGATTGATAACTTGAAATAGCTACTGCATCAAACTAAAAATAGTAGCGCCATTCTCCATCTAAGAAAACACACTTCTTTTAACACAAATAACAGTAAATTTTAGGGCTTTCACTAAAAATTCCTTTGTTGTAGTGGGCTTCTTGGAAATATACTAATTAAACTAGATTATTATATGCTTTGATTAATTTTTTTCCTACCAAGAATTTTCAAAGATTTACATATTAGTGTGCTCACCAGTTCTACCATAGGGAGGGATATAACATGATGGAGCTTTTCTGGCAATAACAAGAGCAGGTGCACAGCAAAAATGTTGCAGCAACCCCCAACAATTATACAACTGCAAATATGCACATTAAATTATGTGAAACAACCATGTGGTAAATGAAGAAACATTGCATAAACTCACAAAAAAATTCAGCAGAAAAAGAAACATGGCTGTGCTTCACAGTCAACTTGCTGCTTTCATACCTTTCTGGACTGGTAGACGAAACGATAAGCAGATAACATTGCTGTGCTTCACAGGAAATATGTATTCAAATCTCCATACAAACTCCTGTAAATATAATTATGTGTGATCGTCAGTCATTAAAGAGATAAATATCCTTCAGCCCGATGCAACTAATGAACTGTACTATTTAACGCTGCTTCAAACATATCAATTGAACAACTTATCAGCACGAAAAACCTATAAAACCCTGATATTGGATGATGTGATGAACAGGAGGGAATAAAATGGCGAAGATAAACGATTTCCAAATAAATACAAGGATTGTCTCATCGTCGAAGGCAACATTTCTCAGAGAGAGAAATAATTAAAAAAACAAACAAACAAGCTTTAACAACAAAAGATACAAGGCTCATTGTTACTTTGTACCTGAAAAAAACCTGCGCATTATTTCTTCATAGAGAGGCGGCATTGAAGCTAGCAAACGAATCAAGAATTAGACTATTAGAGTTTCAGAAAAGAGGGAGAGAAGGTTCAGAAATTTTGAGCAATGTTTATGGGATGGAAGAGGAGTTACTGTTCTGTGCGGAAACACTGAAGGAGAGGCTCTCGCCTGCTGTTGGAGTAGACGGCGACTGGAGGAGAAGTGATGGCCAGTTCTTGCGGACGGAAGGGCGGAGGCTGCGCGCGAGTGAGACGTCCCGAGCCCTTGCAGAAAAAAATTGGCTTCCCAATTATGTGGAAAATCAGGAGCTTATGTAATATTAAAGTTTTAGTTGTTAAATATGTAAATAGAATAGTAAAAATGGTATGTATGTAAATCTCCCAAATTATTAATATCTTTTTATAATTAATAATTTAATATTATTTTATATTGAAATTATCATAAAATGAATTATATTGATTTTATTAGTTCTCACATATATTTAATTAAAAAAATATTATAAAGATAAAAAATCAAATTTATTTAACATGATCATTCATTAATTTATTTGGGTTGTCATATCTCTCATATTTCTTTTATAAAATATTTAATTAAAAAAATTAAATATTAATATTTTTTTGCAAAATAATTGGAGTTAATATAATTTATATTATGGTCATTAGCAGAACATGCACGCGTGCTCTCTTTAATGGCGCATTCATCTTTATCTAGAAAAAATATATAGTTCTCGAAGATGGCTAATTAAGGAGTTTTTATTTGGTCCGGTCACAGGACGTAGCTCTACGTTCGGCCGCCAGTAGAATCGCGCCACGCGTTTTCATTATTTACCGTGCGCCCCGACAACCTGACCCAGAACGGACTCAGGATGGCTCGGGATTTCTCAGAGGTGATTTTATTAGAAGTAAAATAGGTGTAAATATTTTAAATGCACGAGTTTTAAAAAAATTGGTATTTGATTTGAGTTAAGCAAATGCACTGTAATTTTTTGATGCATTTAGAAATCATTCTCTAGTTCAATTTTTTATGCATTTAGAATTTCTCAAATATGAATGATTTTCAAATACACCATAAATTCAGCACTATTTTTGTTGTCCATCACCAGCCCCCACTGCAATCGGTGGTCGCCGGCCACCAACAACCCACTTCCACTGGCAATTTGTTGTTGCTTGCCATTCACCGTCACCAGCCACCCACCATTGCCGCTAGGCACCACCACCCCCACCGTCGCAACCACTGACACCTCCTATCGCCACCTCCTTAGCTTGTGACCCGTCGTCTTCGGCCTTTATCAGCATGTCGACCACCATCATCCGCTACCACTACCACTGTCACATATCGATCGCCACACTTTTTAGAATTTACATTGCATTCATTTTATTTCAACAAAAAAAAAATGTCTTGCATTTCTTTCACACTCATTGAAACAACTCAAAATTATTCCTTTTACTCCATATTTCTTTTACACTGCGTTAATTTTAAATTGCATTCCTTTTTAGCCAACTAAATACCCCTTGGTCTCTCTTCAATTATATTATGGATTTCTACGAGATGAAAGTAAAAAATTGCATGCACAAACATTAAGGCTTCGTTTGGGACGGCTTTTTTATTGCTTCTGAAAATGGAGTTTTAGTACAAAAATTAAAAAATTTGTACTACAACTCCGTTTTAAAAAGCAATAAAAAAGTCGTCCCAAACGAAGCCTAAATCTTCACCCCATTGAGGAGCGATGTTGTTCCTTCTTAAGTGAATTGATACATGTACTCCTATGTCTTTCTCAACATGTATATAGAAACATGGTTTAGTTAATAATTCAAAATCCAACTTTTATAGTCACGGAAAACTACGATCATATATCATCTACCAATTCTTTCCATCCATAATACCTCTAGTAGTTGAGTCATTATTTGAGAAAGTACCAATAAATTCTAAGAAGTTGGCATACTTCAAATCAATCATTGATTTCTTTCCAATATTTTAAAAACTTCCCTTCGAGCATTTATTTTTCTTGCTAAATATTTTCATTCCATATTGGAATCTTTATGTGGAGCAACTCAATTTGGATCTTCATTAAGATAAATATGGTCGTCGTGTCCAATAAAAGAGTGCATTAAATAAGTAAGATTCGTAATTATGAAATTGTGTAGGTTATGATTAATAAAAAATTTTAAAAATACACAGTTCATCTTGGCCTGTTGGTTGGGAGCTTAGGCTACTAACTAAGATGTCTTGGGTTCGAGTCTTGTATATGCGATGTGTATGTGTCTGTCTTAATTGGCCTAACTGTCCCAAAAGAAATTTTTTTAAAAAATCACCTATGGTTGAAAGAGTGAGCTAAAAATGAAGAGGAGTGTTGTTGTTATTCCATATTTATTTAAAGATGTCATACATACAAGGTTGATTTTTCATCTCTCTCTTTCTTTTAAGCTGATATATGATACATTCTCTCTCTCTCTCTCTCTCTCTCTCTCTCTCTCTCTCTCTCTCTCTCTCTCTCTCTCTCATCATAGAATTCCACATATCATATATAAGTTAGAGGGAAGGCTAATGAATATCATAAACTCTGTAACATGTCATATATTGATTATGTAAAAAATAATAATACAAACTATTTTCTCCTACAACAAATCATTTAATATCCTTCACAAAGCTAAACTTTGTTTAGAATGTGAAGCTAAACTTTGTTTAGAATATCTGCTATATGCATGCTTTAGCTGTCCTTAATCATTGTGGTCTTCAAACTTGGTTTAATTTTTTTGAATAGTATAAGCATTATATGCTATATCCAGTATTTTTAATTTCACAAGTTCATTAAAATTAAACAATCTCATTGAGAGATTTATGATGAATGTCTTTATGAAGCTTGCATTACTTATTATTTATGTGATCTAATTGCATTTTGTATAAGTGTTCTTGCTAAGTTTTATATTCCTTGGTGTTTATATATTCTTCAATGCAAGATTTAGTATATGAATAATATGAGTCCAATAAATATACAAGTATTGGGTATCAATTAGAATTCTTGTAACTCAATAAATTTGTGCATTATTAATGATAACTCGTACTACCTTCTTTGAACTCACCCTTATAATCATTTATTTTATTTTATTTGCATTGTAAGATTTATTCTTATAAACTCATTCGTAGTTAGAAGTCTTTATGAGTATAAGCTCATATTCTATAACTAAAATGAAATTAATCAGAGGGCTCTTTTGTATATCTATCCAACCATCATAAATAATAGTAACTCCCTTCTCATTCTAAGGCTTCGTTTGGGACGGCTTTTTTCCTACTTTCTAAAACGGAGTTTTTGTACAAAATTTTTTATTTTTGTACTAAAACTCCGTTTTAGAAAACAATAAAAAAGCCATCCCAAACGAAGCCTAAGTCTTTCTTTTGAAGCGATGTTATCCTCAAGAGATTATAGCGAGGAGAAATAAACTCAACGTATAAGGTGTTGACTGAATAAGAGAAAACACTGAACAATATAAATTTTTTTGCAAAAAAAAAAAAGGACATTCCCTGGATGATCTTTACTTTGCAAATCGAAGGCTCTTTCAATAGCATATCATTGTACAATTAAATTTAATATATTAGCTAAATAAAAAAATAGCAAGAAAGGAATGAGCACATTGTATTAAGACTTGAAATCATGGAGTTCTAACTAAATCAAATAATGTATAAGAAAGGTATGCCAATACAAATGAAAAGCATTGAGAAGGTCAAACCGAGATGAGAAGCAATATGGCAAGCTGAGATGATGAGGCTTGATGGTGGTGGGGTTATGAGATTGAGATGGCTAGGGCTACTATCATATGCACACAAGTTAGAGTTACGATACATGAATTAGAGTTATTTTGAGTTACACACTTCTATCTCTCATGATGTGCTGGTGTCTTGAGTGTTCCATTGTGTGTGGAATCTAATTGAGTTGATAATTTTGGTTATTTTGTTGTCTCAAACTTCAAAGCTTGTTGTGCATACTGGAGGGTGTGCGAGGTTTACGCCCTGCTTGGGTTCAGGTGCTTTGCAACAAAAAAAAAATTTCAAGTACAATACCCGGGAGCTGCATACCAGAGTGCCATGATGTTATGTTCTTGAAAGTCCAGCGCTAAACGACAGAGAGAAAAGCACTACAACGGCCTAGGTATGACACAATATCGATGTAAGAAAGAGGCTTGAGCATCACAGCACTACGAGATAGACCAGAATATAATATATTTCTTTTTTTAAAATCAACAAACATATTAATATATTATGTTTATTTTCTAAGATAATTAACTAATCTTTTTTTGAGTAATTGATGAAGATGATGTAGTGAGTTTATAAGGGATTCCACTAAGGATGACATCTTTTTTATAATTATAGATACTAAAGTGTGTGTGTGTGTGTATATATATATATATATCCCATAGTTCATTTTCATATAAAATATGAGTGGTAGAAATGAAATATATAAGTGGTAGAAAGGAAATATGAGTGATATATTTGATATTAAAATAATATAGAATGGTATGTATGTAATATTAAATAATTTATATAACATATGGACTCTAGCCATATGATATTTTTTACCTCTTAACATATTACCGTGCCCGCACTTCATATTCCTTAATCTAAGGCAAATATAATGAACTTGTGACAACTATAGTTCTCATAAGTTTTTTTTTTAGGAAAATATTTAAATCAATTAAAACAAATTTATATATACATTATTCATACATGAATCAAACATAAACTTTTTTGATTAATAACTAAAACTTCCAACCAATATAACTAAACCAATATAACTAAACCTTCGTTTGGGACGGCTTTCTTTAGCTTCTTCGAGTAATTTTTTTTGTATAAAAATTAAAATTTTTTTACTTGAAGACTGCTTTATGAAGCAACAATAAAACCGTCGCAAACGAAACTTTAGGCTTCATTTTGAACAGCTATTTTTTTATTTAAATAAGAAAACCTTCCTTATAATTAGCAGTATTGACGCCCGCACACCACCGCTACAAAACTGATAATTGATCTCCCTCAGGCCCCAGGTACTACCACTACCTAGAGAAAAAAGGTTAGATAATCTCCATCAAGTAATTAGCATAACCAACCGTCAGAAAACCACTCTTGCTATTCAGGCTTTGACGGCTTTTTTACTTCAAGAAGCAGCTTTTTAGTATAAAAACTTACTTCTTTTCACTATAAAAATAAATTTTTTTACTTAAAAACTGCTTCAAAAAACAGTAAAAAAAACCGTCCCAAACAAAATCTCGAGCAATGATTTGCTCAATACAGAAGAAAGCAATAAATCTATACTTAATAGGAGATATGTTAAAAGAGCTACCGATTAAATCAGGATAGCGCACATATATTACATGAGATATGTATCATATTTACAGAACATAAACCCAGCTTCGGTAGCTTGCAAATAGTGTGAGGAAGAAGATCAGTGCTCATCAGCACTCTTTCATGCTCTGAAAGATGTTTCTTCACATGCAACACGCAAGTCTTCCAAACCCTTCAAGCATAAAAACTGAAACTTGACCGCTATATGTACAATTGTTATTCAAGCCATAAATTTTATTGGCCACAGAAAAGAAATATTTACGATAGAAGAGTTCTCCCACACCGTGGAGTATTTACATGCTTCAGAGCAGAACTATTCAGGTCTCACGTTCACCAGATTGGGCAGTGCAGACAGTTGAAGCTTCTTTAGTTCTGTCGCGGTAACTCGGCAGGACTCCAGAGAGAGGGACCTCAGATTCTTTAGCGGCTTCAGGTGGTGCAGTCCAGCATTCGTTATATGAGAGTTCGAGACATTGAGAGAAACCAAAGCCGTCAATCCTGTTTTAATGAACTTTAATCAGGATGACAACAATGCTGGTTGATAATATATAGTTCAAGTTTGTAGTTGAGGGAAAATTATTAGGTGCGGAACCGGACGTAAAAATACGTCTGGTCATCCACTTAAAATTTTAAATGTGGAGGAACAAGTTGTATTTATTTTTTATTTTATATATTTAATGTATCCGCGGAACTTTAAGCCAAGCGCAGTAAAAGCAATTAAAGTGCAATTAAAATGCAGGTAAAAGCGCAGATAAAGCGTACAAAAAAGCGCAACCAAAATGCACTCCATGTGTCAAATTTTAAGTGGATGTCCGGACGTCTCTCTACGTCCGGTATCCGCACCTAATAATTTTCCGTAGTTAGTTGAGAGAGGGACCTGATATATGTTCCAGTGACCTATCAGTGAGGCTACAGTTCTGAGACAAATTTAATAGAGTCAAGGATGTGAGAGCTTTTATGTTCTTCACACCAGCGTCAGTAATCGACCCACCGCACAGCTCAAGGGAGCGTAGATTCTTGAAATCTGATTAATCCATGAAACAGTTTAATCATAAAATTGTTAATAAAATGGAGTAGGTTCGAAAATGGTTGACAATCTAATTAGTAGACTAGTCGCAGAAGCTAATCTCCAGGTCGGAAAAATGGTCGTTGTGAATGCATAGTTTCAAACTTAAAAAAAAATTCAAAATGCAAGAATCCATCAAAAGTTCCAGTTTAATGGGGAAAGGGAAGTAGCCGAGTGATGACGCCACCAACAATGAAACTTAAAGAAAGAACTATTGAAAAGAATACATGGAAAAAGAAAAGAGAATAGTTAACCTACGTCTTAGGCAGTTTGTTCCAGCATCTGTGATACGAGCTCCAAAAAGATCCAGATGTGTCAATCCAGTAAGGTCTGTAAAATAACATGGGAAAGAAGCCCCCATATGATGCAGAGCCAGACAGAAGAAACAATGATTCCCAATAGAATATATCTTTTTAAGTAAAATAAAAAAAAAAGGCAGAAGGCACATGCAAAACTAGTTCCACGCTTTCAGAAAAAGAATTAGATCGATGCTTTATAATAAGGTAATGTTTTAGAAATTAGAGTAGTTCATCCAATAAATTGTAGCAAGTTGTAGGAAGACTTGGGATTCCGTAACATCAAGTCAGAACATATATACTTAAATTTTGGCGTGCTTTAGATACTTCGGTTAGCACAACTTCAGAGCACAAATTATTCACCCAAAACTTCATTTAATTTGATAGCTCAAATGTGTAACAGATGACCATAAAGGACAAAATGCAGCTAAAATTTTAGTTCAAAGAGTGATGAGCACTTGAAGATTAAATCATTTTTCGCTCAGATCTAGTCAAACAAATGGAGCCAATAGCCCAATTTTTAGCTCAATCTAATCTTTCAGACAATTTTGAGTTGGGGTTAAATCTAGCCTGCTTGAATTCAGCTTGAAATATAAATAGTATGTACTTTTTTTTTAAATTTAATAATGACATAGGTATGTGTGTGTGTGTGTGTGTGTATATATATATATATATAATTTTTAAAAATAAAAAAGATGAAAAATAAATAATTTCGAGCCATCTCAATTTGAATTTGAACCAGCTAGAAATCAAATAAAATCAATCCAAGAGCTTTTTTGATCCAACATATGCAAGTTCAACCTGATTTTGAGCTGACACTATTCCATAGTAAAAATACTCTTTATGCCCGCATTGGCACCAGCCGGACAAGCGTGGCCTCATGGGATCCACTGGGCTCAACATGGCGCAAAAGCACCAATGGGTGCATGTATTAACAATGGCATACATGAGCAACATCAGCATGGGCATGGTCTAATAACTTGGGTCATGTTATCTAAAATCATTTAATTGCATGAGAACATCTCAAATCCATATTCTATGTGATGAAATCAGAATTTTAATGGTCAAATATGCATTAAGTCAATTGAAGGTTTAATCATCCCAACTTAGCCTCATTTAAACACTAGAATCATGAAGTAGAGGTAGATCTAAAAAGACTTGGTTAGATAGTATTAGAAATCATTTTTTTATTATATTTAAATGAGAATTTGACTCTTAATAGGACAATAAAGAAAAGGATTCTTACAGCCAACCCGATAAATGCTTGTTGTCGTAGTAGTAGTATCTAATTATTAATAATCAAATCCTTGAAAAGATGTAACTTGAACTTCCAGTCCAATGGCTTGTTCATAGTATTAGCCATTGCCACAACAATCACTTGATTAGGCATCCAAAAGATAATCCCAAACACAAAATTCATCATAGTGCAGCTTAATTCAACTTGATAGTGAAGCGTTATTCCTCCTCGCAACAATGTAATTAGCATGAAAGTAATGACTTAGTACATAATAATACACTTGAATGTTCATAGTATTTACAGATATCGATCCCTGCAAGTTTGTTTTACAACCATGATAACAAAATGAAAAATGGAACTATTACACATTCATCTATTAATTGTAACTAGATTTAGGTTCTATGCAAAGGAAGTATAGCACAGAGAACTCAAAACAGTTTTCGTTGGAACACCAATAAAAGCACATGGCAGTGCGCTTCCCATGAAGCAAATTACATAGAAGATAGATCCCAAATACACAGCAATTAACCAGGACATGCCAGCATGAATGTGCAAATTATTTAAATTGAATAAAATAAACTTCAGAACAGATTTTTAATTGACAAGCACCATTTAAAATGACTTACTTGTAAGAGCTGACAAGCCAACATCGGTTATTTGGCGAGAATCAAGATTCAGTGATTTAATTGATGTCAACCCCGATAACTTTCTCAAGCCACCATCAGTCACCATAGTAAACGACAGATTTATACTTTCTAGATTGCATAAACCTGTACGGGAAAAAACATATCTGAAGTTAAACTTAGAGAAAAGGATGTTTTGTTTGAAATAATAACTGCAAAAGAGAAAAATGGTCCGTTCTGTATATTAGTTGGAAGAAACCAAAAAATCATACTTGTACATAATATAATCAAATGAATTAGAGGTCCAATAATTGATAGAAACATGTATACTTCTATCAAAGAATTCAAATTGATGAATCCCATACCGTAGTTAAACCTAAGCTTATGCACGGTTCATTCATCCTTCTTTTTCATGAATAAGATTTGATAGATAAATGGAGCAAGCAGAGCTCATCCTCTCCCATTCAATGGAGTATTTTTTTAAACTAATATTTTGAACACAAGTAGTGTTTTGGCTCCAACTATGGACCTAAATCAAGTTTTTGCATTCTTTCCATCAGGAAGTACAGTGAAGTAAGTCAAGATGTAAAGTGCAAACTCATGAAGCCTTAACTCACATTTTTCCTAGCCATGACTTTTCAAGTGAAAAAAATAGATACGTTTGCAATCTGCATAAAAAATAAGGTGGTGCACAACCATTTTCCAGTAAATGATAACAATCAACGCATCGAGTATTGCCATAAATTTGCAGTGAATGGAGACAAGAATATTTCCATAGATTTGTAATAAATGGAGATAAGATAGAAGCGTGAGTGCCAGTTTTATGCCCGCATGTAGCAATCATCAGCTAGCAATAAGAGTACTATATTACCCATAACAAGTTTGGCAAGTTGATCAAGTCAATTTAGCTAGCAGGGCTAAATCATTAATTAGTTGGGCCAAGTTACTTGTGTCGACCCATCTAAGAGAACTGAATCATTTAGCTAAGTCATTTGTGATAAGTTGTCCAGCGGGAGTCATCATTTACAAGTCACTCAAGAAGTGATTGAGATCTTAATAAGAAAGTGCTGATTAAGGCAAATCGTCCAAAGATACCTAACCATGATACTCAAATTATTCTTGCCCACTAATACTAGCCCTTTAGTACTCCGCCAGCAACTTAAACAAGGTAGTCTTACTTGACAAAAGTAATCTGTTAGACCGGTCCAGTTGGTCCACTGGACCGGTCCTGGCGGGACCGGCTTACGGGCAAAACAATTTCCGCCTCCTGCGGATGCCGCGCGAGCCGCAAGCGTTGCGAGCCGAATAGGAAAGTTTTTAAGGGGAATTAAGAGGAAAATTTGAATGTAGGGACTGTTTAGGAATTTCATTTTGATTTGTATGCATTAAATACTTTGTTTTCCTCGGGTTAGGGCATCTTGAATTTGACTTAAATTTGAGATCTCCTAGATTTAGGTTTTTCTTTGGGCTCTAGCGGTGTCTAGAGATTTGGGAGAGAAAGATCATCCTCTCGAATAGAGGATCAATTGTATCTTGGTATTTTTCGTTTCCATTCCATCAAATATTACAAATTATCTATTGTTTTCCTTTTTTGTGTGGAATTTTGTGGAGAATTCTAGCTGTTTTTCAAAGATTGATAGGAAATACTTGAGATCTTCAAGTGTTTCCTATCAAATTGGTATCAGAGCGCTTTTTTGTGTGGAAAAAATAAGATATCTTGGCTGTTTTGCAATTGGAGCCAAGATCTAATTAACGACAACAAAGAAGATGGAGGAGTTGGATGGCGAAATGGAGCAATTTAAAACCGGCTTGGAGAAGTTCTCTACATGGGGAGAAAAAAATTTCATATATGGAAAATCGATTTAGAAGGGTGGAGGAGATGTTAAGAAGACTCTTTGAGATGCAAACAAACACTTCACTTGTGGTTCCGATGGCTAACCCTAATCAAGATTTGATTTAATTAAGGGGATTTCTTAAATTAGATTTATCAATGAGGAAAGAGTTTGAAATTCAAATATTTATTTGAATTCAAATAAGAAACTTTCCTAATCAATAATAGGCTATTTTAGGAAGGTGATTAAGAGGGAAATTGAATTTGAAGTCAGGCTTTGTGGGGACTACTTGGTCAGTGGCTAGGATGGCCTTGGGAGGCCAACGGCTATGGCTTGGTTGGGATGGCAGTAAAGGGGAGACCGGCGGTAGGTGGGTGGGGAAGGGGCCGATTGTGGAAGGTTCGGGAAAGGGGAGGGGAAAAGGGCAAGGCCGGCGTTTTGGATGGATTATGAAGGATGGACGGCAGTGGAAGTAGGGAAAGAAGGTAGAGGTAAGTTGCGAGCCTTGGACTCTTCTGAAGACTGACGAATATTGCAATCACCCTCACCAAGGGCTCTCTTTATTCTATCAAAGCTCACAACATTAAAGAAGACAAAAGCTAGAATTTTTATTCATCAATCATCATCCCAAATATAATAGAGGGGCCATTATATATAGGCCTCAATATGACAAAAGAAAAGAACTAAAGTGCCCTCCAGGCTACAACATCAAGCTAATTACCCATAGGGGTAAAATAGAAAGAATAGAAATATAAAATAAACAATACATAAAATGCATCAAAAATAAAGGCTCCTGATCGTGGCCGTCGATCTTTGATGCCTCCTCTGATACACGCGTCAAAATCTCTTGCTAACGTACTCATCACTTACATCTTTCATATCTTTTCTATCACATTAAGAAAATATATATACAATTAACCTACAAACATCATCTTTCATATCTTGTGTTATCTCAACCACATTGAAAAAATATTCAAGCTTTCTTGATCACACGCAACAAGGTTCTAATACCCATGTTAGACATCTTTACATTCAATCCCATAAGATCGAGCTATAAGTTCCATCTTTCATATGCTGCATATCTTCTCTAACACATTGAGGAGATATTCAAATCTTTATTACTTCCTATCTTCTCTATAACACTGATATGATAGTTTGGCCTCTTGATCATATATGATCAAGCTGCAAGTTCTGTCTTTCATACTGCTCAAATCTTTTGTATCCTCTCTACCACACTGAGGTGATTTCTAGACTTCTTAATCACATGCAATCAAGCTATAAGTCTCACAATAGGTTTCGATGTTGCCACATAGAGATGACACCCTTCTTCATATCCATTAGCTTAGTGCCTAGGTAACCTTATCAGCCTTGGTATGTACCACCATTCAATTCTATAAATCTAATCTAAGCTTCTCCCTCACATGATAGCGGAGTGTAAATCCCATCTATTAGTCAAGACTATGTCCACACCCTAGGTTTGTGAGATCCTCTTAGATGAGATAACACATTGATTGCTAACAAGTATTCTTAAGTCGCCATATAACAAAGCAGACAATGGCACTAATGACCCAAAATAAAGGAACCATAAGATTTTGATTGGGGTCATCCCCCGCTAGGTTGGTTAGTCCTTTCCTACATCCATTTCTCCTAGTAAGGTAATGCCGCATGGAACCATACATCAAGCTTTGGACATGTACCTCCAGTGGTTGAAGCTGAAAACCCTCCTTTTGTGCTTGTTTCAATGCCTTTAATCCTATCCTCCTCGGTTCTAGGACGCCCAACTACCTTCATCCTCTATATGCCCAACATTGACTTGATTTGAACACAAACATTGATTCCTTACCAAGAGTAGTCTTGAATATGCCCAACATTGACTCCTTAACAAGAGTCTTCTCGAACATGCCCATAATAAAATTAGCCATAGGACCTTGCTCCTTTGGAAAATCTTGACCTTAATAATTAAAATAAACCTTATCTAGATCCCCATTCTTTACTGAAAAATGTGTGATAAATACACTCAATATACCTTTCATTGATCACTGCGACCATAGAATACATTACCAAGGACAGTCCTCTACTACAGCATCGTAAGAATCTTTCAAAGCCACATTCCTAAATAAAAAACCCAACTAATACTCTCACCCCATAAGTAGGGTGTTCTAGAACACAATAAAACGACAACTACACAGAGTGCTAAACATTCATCTAATTTCATGTGTATTGTATCATTTAGACTAATACATTGTTTTGAATGATGGTACCACTTCATTAGATAAGTTACCCAAATGAAATTAAAACCAATATGAACGTTCTAAATGATTTAGGAGTATCCTTCTAAACATATGATGTTACCAGATCATTGGGAATCGAGATTCCACTAATATAAAGATGAATATCACGTGGCAGTTAAAGCAACAAATAGTTTACTCAAATGACTTGGTCCTCAAAATTATTTTAAGAACTTCACAAAACCATGGTTCTCAAAAACAGTTTATATCATAAAAGCAAGGACATAAATCTATATCATTAACATAAGCAAAGCATTAGAAAAAAGCAAGCAAATGAGTTGTCATGAAACAATCGGATCTTCCGATCTGGATAAACAAAAGAACATAACTAAGTTTCTTTAACTTATTCACGAGTATGAAAGCTAACCAGAAAGGTGCCGAAGCCCAATGCTACCAACTTCTGTGTCTGATAGCTCCAAGCTTTTCAATTGCAGGAGCCCTGAAATAAAGTGAGCACGTTTCTTTAAGAGGCTTATGAGCAAAATTAAGTTGGCTAGCAACACAATTATTTCATAAATTGATTACATTGGACTAAGAGCAACAAAATTAAAAACAAAATCATTAAATTACCACCTCGGCTTACCATTGTAGTTTGAAGTTAGTGTTATATGCAAATCTTTGTTAATGTTCAAACTCATAACATATTTCAACTAAAATACCACAGGTTGGTTCTTCTTCATCAGCTTAAAGCATGAGATCCGAAATATAAGAAGCATAAACAGTTAGCAAATGATAATTGCGTGTGGAATTTTACAATGGAAATGCAGTCATAGCTGTCATAAATCAGATAAAACCATATTAGTTTATAATGGAAACTTAAGAGTAGAAAACAAAAGAGCAATGAACTTGTTATACAGTATTTCAAAAGAAAACGATTGGTTCTTCATTTCTTCCCCATCCACTTAAAGCATGAGATCGAAATATAACAAGAACACTCAATTAGCAAATGATAATTGCATATGAAATTTTACGATGGAAACCCATAGGCATAGGTGTCATGAAGATCAGATAAAACCATATTAGTTTATAATAGAAACTTAAAAGAGAAGAAAACAAAAAAAATGAGTTAACGTAATAAAATCCAAGTTCTATAATTTATACCCTTTAAATTTAATAGACCTTCATCCCCAATCTTGCATGAATCCAAGTTCAGGCTCTCCAAATTAATAAGATCTGCAATATAAGAAAATAAAAGTAGTCTATGAAGAACAAGCGATCATATCAAGAATGCCACAAAAAACACAAGCACAAAGTACAAACTCGAACAACACTTCAATCTCTGTTTAGGCAGATAAATGAAGGAAGTTGATTTATACTCCATTGTGTAACGTACAACATATGCATGACAAAAACCAATTTAGATAAAAAGAAATGAATATATATATATACAGAAAAATACACTCAATAATGAATATTAAGGCTGTTAATATATGTGGTTATATATGTATAATAACGCTTCCCTGCAAACTTAAGGAGATAGAAGATATCAACTTGAGCTTGGTAATATAGTACTTGAAATCATCCTTGAGAACAAGATTTGATAAAGCTATTAGTTGGTTGCCCTTCAAAAGCAATATATTAAAGACAAAATAAAGCAATCTCACCACAAATGAAGTCACAATCAATCTCGATGTGCTTTGTGCGCTCATTTTAAATATTAATTTGAGCAATTACATTCACATTGTGACTCTCAAAAATGAAATAGTGAGGGATAGCATCATGAACAATACCCATATCTGCGAGCAGCAATCAAAGTCCCAAGTAACACCCCCACCATATCTATAAGGGCATAATATTCAAGTTTGACGCTCAAACGAGCAACACTTGTTTCTTTCTTTCAACTAAGAAACTAATGTGGATCTTAGGAAGAATATTTTCAGAAACTTTTTATAACTAATTTATAAACTTAGAATCTAAGTTTTAGAAAATAAACTATTTATATCTAAGTACTAAGGTTTCCGTCAGCAATCCAATTTTTCAAAAGAAACTAAGAATAGGACGTGATGGTAAGTACTAGATTAGAATGATAATTTTTTACTACTATCTTATATCCTCATTACTGAGAATATTCTCATCCTTATTATCTCCTTCTTTGCTGGATTACAATTTCCACCTAATGCAGAAAAAGAAATTCTTTAGGGAATTCTTTAGGGAAAATGAAGAGGAATTAAGGAGGCATTTTTTAGGAAAATTTTAATTACAATTGGAAGGGAATTAATAAGGGAAATAAATCTAATTTGAATTCAAATCTGAGAGGGATTTATTTAGGGAAAGGGGGCTCATTTGGGAGGGAATTATGGGAGCCTATTTAAGGCTAACTATGGGGTGATTTCAGTGGATGTTTTGGGAGTTTACTAAATTTAGTTTATTCTTAGGTTATTTGGGCTCTAGCCGGCAACTAGGGATCTAGGAGAGCCGGATCTTCTTCTCCACCTGAAGATCCAATTGTATCTTGCATTTCTCTTTATAGTTATTTCAATAAAAATTATTTTGGGGTGTTTTTTTCCCCAATTTTTCGTGTTTCATCAGCTGATTCTTGTAATTAAATCATCCACTTCCTAACAAATTGATATCAGAGCCTAGATCCGGGTACCTATGGCGGGAAGAAAGGTAGAAGTATTGAAAAGGACGATGAGACAATCAAAATCTGATTTTATAGAAAAGATTTCAGGTTTCGAAAAGCAATTTTTAGTCATCCATGAGAAGATCGATGAGAAATTTGCCATCATGGAGGAGATGATAAAGAAGCTGTTTGAGGGAAAAACTAAACTAACAACATCGAAGGTGAGAGCATCGTTGACCCGATAAGAAAATGGGAGAAACCCTAATATAGGGATGATGAGGGAGAATCATGAGGTAAAAATTTTTAGGGAAGAAGAGGAGATGCCAATCTTTGGAACCACTTCTAATGAGGGGAAATGGTGCAGTAAGATTTTTGGTGGAGTCGCAGAGTTTGGAAGGAAAAGAAGATGGGGAGAAGATAGAAGCACCAGACAAGGTTCAGCCACTCCTACAAGAATATTGAGATGTGTTCCAACCAGTTAAGGATTGCTTCCTCCGCGAGAACACGAGCATGCTATAATTTGGAAGGACAGAGTCTCACATATCAGTGTTCGTCCGTACGATTCTCCCCAACTCCAAGAGGATGAGATTGAGAGATTGATCAGGGAGATGCTGGAGACATGGATCATTCGACCTAATGACAATCCATTTTTTAATCTAGTGCTATTAGTCAAGTACTTCAACAGCAATTTCTTCATTCCCCCTTAAGGACAAGATGGCACTTTGGGATGAGAGTATTGATGGACCGGCCAATTTGATTGGGAGGGAATTAGAAAGTTTCTTGAACAAGAGGGAACTATTTAGGAATGTTCTTAATCAAAGGGGAATTGTTTAGGAAAAATTTTAATTACGATTGGGAGAGAATTACGTAGGGAAAGAGATCAAATTTGAATTCAAATCTGAAAGGGATTTATTTAGAGAAAGGGGGCTGATTTAGGAGAGTATTATGGGAGCCTATTTAAGGCTAACAACGGGGTGATTTCAGAGGATGTTTTGGAAGTTTGCTGATTTTAGTTTATTTTTAGGTTATTCAGCTCTAGCCGACAACTAAGGATTTGGGAGAGTCGGATCTTTCTCTCCAATTTAAGATTCGATTGTATCTTGCATTTCTCTTTATAGTTTTTTCAATAAAAATTATTTTGGGCATTCTTCTTCCCAATTTTCCATGTTTCATCCGCTGATTTTTGTGAAAAGTGCATCAACTTCCTATCACAATGTTAGTGTTTTACCCTCCCCTTCAGCCCTCCTCTCCCCTCTCCTTTTCCAGTTCCCAGAAACTGATAGGAAATACTTGATTTCAAGTAGTTCCTAATCAAAGTATGAAGCAAATCACGATAATTTCTGCTGTTCACAGCAGAAAAACAGTAAATTCTGGACCAAAACAGAGAAAACCTGAGAGAAAAATGGAGAAAAACTCGCCCAAACACTTGTACTTTACTAGTAGATGAAAGAAAACTTGCAAGATACAAAGATCCTCAATTCGAGAGGAGGATCGCACTCTCCCAATCTCTAGAATTCGTTCTAGAGCCCAAGCCTCCAAGAAAACCCTAATTGCAATCAAACATAACATGAAAAACTCCCTAATTCCCTCATCCCCTTTAATACAAGATGGCTGTCGACTACCTAACGCAACCCTCCACTTTTCTCATCCAGGACTTGGGACCTGGCAACGGCAGTGTTATGGAAGGGAATTAATAAGGGAAATAAATCTAATTTGAATTCAAATCTGAGAGGGATTTATTTAGAGAAAGGGGGCTCATTTGGGAGGGAATTATGGAAGCCTATTTAAGGCTAACTATGGGGTGATTTCAGTGGATGTTATGGGAGTTTACTAAATTTAGTTTATTCTTAGGTTATTTGGGCTCTAGCAGGCAACTAGGGATTTAGGAGAGCCGGATCTTCTTCTCCACCTGAAGATCCAATTGTATCTTGCATTTCTCTTTATAGTTCTTTCAATAAAAATTATTTTGGGGTGTTTTTTTCCACAATTTTTCGTGTTTCATCAGCTGATTCTTGTAAAAAATGCATCCACTTCCTAACAAATTGATATCATAGCCTAGCTCCGGGTACCTATGGCAGGAAGAAAGGTAGAAGTATTGAAAAGGACGATGAGACAATCAAAATCTGATTTTGTAGAAAAGATTTCAGGTTTCGAAAAGCAATTTTTAGCCATCCATGAGAAGATCGATGAAAAATTTTCCATCATGGAGGAGATGATAAAGAAGCTGCTTGAGGGAAAAACTAAACTAACAACATCGGAGGTGAGAGCATCGTTGACCCGATAAGAAAATGGGAGAAACCCTAATATAGGGATGATCAGGGAGAATCATGAGGTAAAAAAATTTAGGGAAGAAGAGGAGGTGCCAATCTTTGGAACCACTTCTAATGAGGGGAAATGGTGCAGTAAGATTTTTGGTGGAGCCGCAGAGTTTGGAAGGAAAAGAAGATGGGGAGAAGACAGAAGCACCAGACAAGGTTCAGCCACTCCTACAGGAATATTGAGATGTGTTCCAACCAGTTAAGGATTGCTTCCTCCGCGAGAACACAAGCATGCTATAATTTGGAAGGACGGAGTCTCACATATCAGTGTTCGTCCGTACCATTCTCCCCAACTCCAAGAGGATGAGATTGAGAGATTGATCAGGGAGATGCTGGAGACATGGATCATTCGACCTAATGACAATACATTTTTTAATCTAGTGCTATTAGTCAAGTACTTCAACAGCAGTTTCTTCATTCCCCCTTAAGGACAAGATGGCACTTTGGGATGAGAGTATTGATGGACCGGCCAATTTGATTGGGAGGGAATTAGAAAGTTTCTTGAACAAGAGGGAACTATTTAGGAATGTTCTTAATCAAAGGGAAATTGTTTAGGAAAATTTTTAATTACGATTGGGAGAGAATTACGTAGGGAAAGAGATCAAATTTGAATTCAAATCTGAAAGGAATTTATTTAGAGAAAGGGGGCTGATTTGGGAGAGAATTATGAGAGCCTATTTAAGGCTAACTATGGGGTGATTTCAGAGGATGTTTTGGAAGTTTGCTCAATTTAGTTTATTTGTAGGTTATTCAGCTCTAGCCGACAACTAGGGATTTGGGAGAGTCAGATCTTTCTCTCCAATTTAAGATTCGATTGTATCTTGCATTTCTCTTTATAGTTTTTTCAATAAAAATTATTTTGGGCATTCTTCTTCCCAATTTTCCATGTTTCATCCGCTGATTTTTGTGAAAAGTGCATCCACTTCCTATCACAATGTTAGTGTTTTACCCTCCCCTTCAGCCCTCCTCTCCCCTCTCCTTTTCCAGTTCCCAGAAACTGATAGGAAATACTTGATTTCAAGTAGTTCCTAATCAAAGTATGAAGCAAATCACGATAATTTCTGCTGTTCACAGCAGAAAAACAGTAAATTCTGGACCAAAACAGAGAAAACCTGAGAGAAAAATGGAGAAAAACGCGCCCAAACACTTGTACTTTACTAGTAGATGAAAGAAAACTTGCAAGATACAAAGATCCTCAATTCGAGAGGAGGATCGCACTCTCCCAATCTCTAGAATTCGTTCTAGATCCCAAGCCTCCAAGAAAACCCTAATTGCAATCAAACATAACATGAAAAACTCCCTAATTCCCTCATCCCCTTTAATACAAGATATTTCCTAATTTAATTTCCCTCCCAAAACCAATCTCCCCACTCTGTTTGAACATTCGAATCCTTTGGAGAAGTGGGGCCCGCACATATTAAGCATTTCGGTTTAAAGGAGGCGGAGGTCTCCGCCTCCTATAAACCAGCAGCTGGTTATGCCGCTGGTTCTGGACCGGTTCACAGAGAACCGGTCTAACAGAAACCTACAGCCTACATCCCCTACATGTTATACCACTTGATTCCTAGCTGGAATTGGTCCTTTTTCACACATATAACAAACCTTGTAAACTAGTCGAAGCCCTAGCAGCAATACCCCACCTACAACTAACCTAGCAACCGTATCCATATTCATCATATCACGCCTACACCAGCATCCAAACCCTATTGCTCTCTATTCCCAAAAGTTTATCTTCAAAAAATGGCACAAATCAATAAAACATTTGACAAGAAATTGGGATGAATTACTTCAATAACATCCGTTCAACATTGATACACTATTTGGAAGAAAGAGAACAACAAATTCCTCTTCGCCAAATTTATATGCAGCTTGCAACCTTCTCATTCTCTGCACGGCTGACTCCACAATTCCTAATATTGTAATTGCTCTCATTCACTTTCTCTCTCAAGTTCTTTACGTCACAAAACTCTCTACTCCCCAACCTAGTACTCCTTACCAATATACTTTGGTCAGTAGTTCAAGGGGTGGTAAAGGGAATCATGGATGAAAAGGACATACTAGTGAGTCAAAAAACAGTTTGCACCTTCCCAACCTGTCCGCATTACAAACACACTAATCATCCTTATGAACACGACTATGATAAATTTGGCCATCCATTCTCTAACGAAAACATTGAAATCCCTGAAAAAGCACCACCTTCACGAGAAAAATCAAGAATAACTTCTCTTGAGAGGAAGATCACCTTGTTGTAATCAAATTTACCTTGATATTAGATTGGAGCTTATTTAGATATGAGATCAAAACTTCCTAGATGGGCAAACACCCAAAAATAATCACTCCTCCCACTTGCAAGAGAGCATTCTAGATGAAAATGGTTGCATAGACTCACTTTTCTAGGAAATAACTTCCTTTGATAAATGCTAAGAGTCTCTCTCTTATAACGCAAGAAGAAATCTTATCTTTGATAAATTTTTTAACAAAATCCACCTTACATTAAATGAATGGAACCAAAGATAGGTATATCTTGGTGGAAAAATCAAACACCTAAAAAATTCAATGCATGCTCTATATAGCACAAGTTATCAACCCTTTCATCACATTTTTTTAATAAATTATAGAAGAACATATTTCATAAGAGTAGAAATGACAAAATGAGGAAAATTCATTAGACCAAAACTAGATGTCTTGTACTATCTTACCTTTGAAGAGGTCTTTGTTTTAAGAACCTCCTTCGTATTTATAAAAACTTCTCATTCAAACAATGGTTGAAGCTCAAATATATTGACAATTTATGGAGTTTACAAAATCCAAATATACTGGTGATAATTACACCTTTGATGTGGGCTATTGCAAGGTAGATTTACCAATTTAAAGGAAACTTTGTTCAATCAAATACGAGTGGGATGAGTTCATCTTATGGTCTACTGGTATTGTTGAAATTTATTTTGGGGAAGACCATTGATTTGGTAATAGTACTATCAACTCTTTGTTCTCAAATCATCGATATTTGAAGGCCAAGGCCCAAGGCTAAGGACGTCCTGATGAATAGATTATATATCCTTCTAGAGGAGAAGCACTCAATGACCTCTAAGATCCCTATTCTCGACTCTTCTAAAGACACTACTAGTCTACTAACACAAAATTCAATTTGAATTGTATCGTTCTTCAAGAGAGAATTCATTGTGGGATCCTTGCATCCCCCTTTATAAAATTTGTTCTTGTGTGAGAGGTTGTTGCTACCCAATTCCATCATAGTGGACTTCATAATTATAAGTATGGGGGTTACTAGGACCTTAAGTATTATCTTTGCTTTGATAAAAATCAATCAATTATGTTTTACACGACAATCCTAGTGTCAAGGCTATTTATAAATTCTTAAACCTTTACATTTAATTTTAATCTCCCACATGTTCACTCCATAAATGTCTTCGTTTATGTTTAGAGATCCTTTAAGAATTCGGTTAAGGTGAGGCATCTAAAAATTGTCATTGCATGCTAGTATTTATTGACCATTGGCATATTTAATTAGAAAGGAATGATTGGAAATACAACATGCTTTTTTTTAATAATAAAATAATAATTTGGAGAATAATCAAACAAAATTTGGTTCTTTCTTCTTATAAGTTTTCATAATTTTAAGATTGAAAACTTTAAGAAACTGAAATATGGAAGATTTTTAGGAGTGTCAATTATTGACACGACCCAACAACCCGAACCGAAAAACTTGGGTTAGGGGGTTCGGGTCAACTCGGTAACCCGAAATTGACCCGGGATTGACCTGGATGCTAAGTGCCAACTGGCATTTGCGTTACCAGCCTCGCCATGTCGCCCTAGGCCCCTAGCCCTCACGTCGAACCGCGGCACTCCGCAGTTTCACCTAGTCGCCCAAGCGCTTGCGTCGAACCGCGAAGCAGTGGAGCCGCACCGGTCGCCCAGTCATCGGCCTCGCCGACTTGTCCTAGTTCTCACGTTGAACCGCGCTAAGCATGCTCAAAGCCTCGCAGGCAAGCTCCACCCTCGCTCGAATTGCGCTTGAAGCCTTGCAAGTCAGGTCGAGTCGGGTCAACCCGATAACCAGCACGGCTCGGATCCGGGTTGACAAACCTGACCCGTTTGCAAAACCGGGTCAGGTTAGAGTCAACTCGTTTACGGTTGGGTCAAGTCGGGTTCAAACCGTTGACCCGAATTGACACCTCTAAAGATTTTGTATATGCATTCTTAACGTTAAGATCCCTTTAAAAAAAACCTTAAGATCCCTTGAAAACCTCCAATACTGCTATTATTTATTAGACTAAACCTCCATTTAGAGTACTAAAATTAGTAAAATAAAAGAGGATGATTATACTATGCTTCATCGAGGATAGTCTGCTTATGGGATCTTCGTAAGAAACTAAGATAGCAATACTATTACTAATTCCCAATATTATCTTGGACATCAATTTTCGTTTATGTTGAAATTGCTGCACTTCAATATGACAGGGAATTATGCACTCTTAATGGTTTCATAAATATATGAATTGAGACGAATGCTCTAAAAATCATTGTTATTTTCAATACAGATAAATTTGTCAGCTAAGAGTATTAAAATATATATTGCCAAATTAAGCTTTTAATTTTAAAATATCAAAATAAAATGATATAAATACCTTGTGAATGCAATTATGTTGTTGACTGGTAGGCCAATGAAGGTTGTAAACTCAAAGAAACAAGAACTTTTATTCAATCAAAATTGTGTGATAATCTTATTGGTGAGATATGAGTGGGATTCATTACATTAGGCATATTTGATACACTTTTGAGCTTACCCTTTGTTCCCTCACTAAGTGCTAATGGATAACATTTACCAGGGGTTAATTTTCTCTGGAACACTTCTCATCCGTTATCTACTGCATTTTTTCTATAATTAATTAGTTGATTTTGTGGTATTACAAGGCTCTATTTTATAGCGATTGGAGGACTATTTGTTGGCTAAGGCTATTGTTTGGCTTCAGGGGGTTACTTTTTGTCCTTCGGTAATACTTATCAGCCTTTTTCCACTATGGACAGTAGTTTGGACAAACTTTTAGTAGTTGTTTTGCAAATTAAAATGGCTTTTTCCAAGATATTTTTATGCTTATATGGGTCTCATAGGTGAATAGTTGGTTCTCTGCTAGGTGTTTTTTCTTATCTAAAATATGGTAACGGCTCTTTGGGTGCGCTTTATATGTTGAAGTCAAAATAGAGCAGTTCCCCTAGTACAGTTCCCCTAGTAACATGGTTAGCATGTTTACTGATCAGAAGCATATATCAAGCAGTATATTCAATCAATTTCTTTAGCTTGGTTTACCATAAATATCTCTCTAACTGCTAGTTTAGATATTTTGAACATATTAGGGTTGGTTCTTGAGATCATCCTATTTGATTCAAATTGAGGTATGATCTTAGTAAGATGAAAGACACAAGGAGTGGTTCCAACTTAGCGAAAAGTAGGCTAACATTACAATTTACAAGCAATTTTCCTTTTATTTGTATACTACTAATATTTTTGCTTCCTACTTGCAGCATAATCCATAACTGCAAAAAATGCATTGGTTTGATCCCCCGCATCACAACATTTTAGTGCGTGTTTTAAGAAAATCTAGTTGCCTAAGACAACAACTTAAGGTGCTCAACTATTCATTATAAACTTTAAATATATATATATATATATAATGAAAGGTCTGTTAGAAAGATATATTTTTATTACTATTTTATATACTCATAATTAACAATATTCTACTCATTATCATCGTTTTGTATTATCCTTTTATGTTCATGTATGGGCATTTGTAACAAGAAGTTATTTTTAGTAAACTTTTTTCTTCTGCTTTTAATTTTAGTAATATTACCGTTGCAAATGTGTGGATTTGGTGCACTGCATGCCTGGCATCATAAATGAACATTTAAGTTTGCTTAGTAGTCCATTATTTTCCATGATTTCAGAATGGTTTAGAATGTGTGTTCATATCACCAGATATCTCAATAATTACCTCTTTCATAGCCAAGCATTGATGAGTAAGCAATCAGGATAAAAATAATAATAACAACAACGAAGAAGCATACCTTTTATATGCATCAAACATGCATCAGTAATGTTGTTGAAAGCCAAGTTCAGGACTTTGAGTTTCACTAGATCTATAAAACAAAAATTTCTGAGTAAGCTCAAGAATTTAAAAAAAGAAATCCTCAGAAACATGCATAAACTGTTAATCATTTAATTAGTACAAGGTTGTTGGATTGAACCAAACGTTTCCTTTTGCCATTCTTCTTTCCCCTCCTCACCCTCTCTCTGCCCCTCCATATGTACCTCTCCCTTCAATATTTTAAAGTTAAACTATTTACCAAGCTTGCTTGGAATTAGACACAAACAGCAAAGAAACTCTACATAATCAAGACTAATGTAGCAATTATGACACAAATCAAGTTTATATGTGTGTGTATGCATGCGCATGTGTGTACAAGCAGAGTTTATATGTGCTGGGGGTGGGTTTGTTCGTGTGTCTGTGTACCAAAACATATGCATTTGTACGTTAGACATTCAAAAATTAGATCAACACTTCTACCATTTTCAACATTATTCAAACTTCTGGATTAAAAGATTTTAGACATTCAAATAAATTTTTACCAAGCAAATGAAACAAAATTTTCTTAACGGATACATTGATTGCCCATGACGACTTCTATAATTACATTGGATAATGTCTTACTTATGACATGAAATTTAGTACACGGATCATTTAAGATGTCTTTACATTTAGTGCAAATTTTAATTAAAGGTGTTGATCTTATTTAAATTTTCAATGACGAACCCTAGGCACATATTCTCCAAATCAAAATGACACATTACTACAAATTTTTTAAGTGATCACAGCTCAAAAGAATCCATGCCTTAATCTTACTCAAAGTAATTCAAACTATTTTATCTGTTTAAGACCTCGTCACATAATATTTCGAGCACAAGTAAATTAACCATAAGACTGAAAAGATCAAGATAATACTGGTAAAGCATGCCAAGCATGTTAAAAAGCTACTTAATCTTGCATTGTATGCACCCAACAGGGCAAGAAAGATAAAATGAATCCTGGCTCAGCTCTTATGGAATCTACTATTCCAGCAGACAATTATGATGCTCAGCTTTTATATCTAAACGTGAACAATTTTGATCATCTTTCTCAATAAAGTAGAAGTGTATGAATTACAAGTAGTGTTCGTTAGTAAACTAAGGATAAAACTACAATGATCTAAGATCTCAATTGATGACAATACCAATAACGAGCAGAGGAATCAACTGACCAGAAAAATTCCGACATCCCTCATCAGATAAACAACACCGACTAAGATTCAGATACAACAGTGAGACAAGACCTGCCAACCAAAAAATAAAAGCCACCGACGTCAATAAATATAGAGGTGCTGTAAGAAAAACTATAATAATGTCATTATAAAAGACAAAAAAAAAATACTATCTAAGAAACCGAATAAAATCTTGCTTCATCTTCAATAACACGAACCACCTATAAATTGGACAGAACCTCACAGTTGACCACTTTTACAAGACAAGAACATAGTATTGAATTACATATATAAGTAAGAATTCCATCAAAATATCCAATACCAGAACCGAAAAGAATCTGAAGTTGAATAATTTTCACATGACAAGAACAAATGGAGGAAAATTAATGGGCATAAAGTTTGAACAGCAAAAGAGACGACTTGGTTATAACCACATTGCCTCAATCATTGCCCGAAGTGCAAAGATAAAATCTCATTTAACAAGTTTTGGGACATGGAATAAGATGAAACTTCAAAAATTATTAAATTGACTAACATAATCAGATGCAATGGTTGTCATTTCTACTCAGTAAAAACTATTATTCATTGTAATTGAAGTGACTAAATGAGAAATAGCTGATTTTCAGCATCCCACTCTCCATGAACGGAAGCCTAAGAAGCCTAAGGTGTGACCAACCGTTGAGAATCAGGCAATCGTACCCCATGAGAAAGCCTACTTTTCTTCATAAAATTGCTTCCAAATAATAATTTAAAGACTAAAATATTCCAAGACATGTATTTCTGCAAATAAATTTATGATGATGGAGAGTAAAGTAGATTTTCAAAGAACATATCAAAGAGCTATTGATAAGTAAGGAATTACAAGCTCAAGCTTCCAATTTGCTGACAGAAAATTAATGCCACAATAATCAAATAAATAAACGTTAGTTTGAACTTATTTGTCAATGATTTCCCAGATTTTTCAACATAGACCACTAATTTTCAAACCCTACTGTGGGCTCCGAAAATACGGCCCCGGACTCAACCCGCTGTTGCTTTTTCTTTGGGGGGAGTTTTAACGGATTTAGTTCCGGGGTAAATTTTGGAAGGCAGATGGATTTGTAGATAAGACACTACCAAGAGATTTCGCCCTCATTTTGCGAGGACTTTATGATCTGAGTTCTGATTTCCTATAGGCGCAAGCCCCTATAGTTAATTACCCCTCCCGATAACGAGAGAGAACTTTCGATTAAGGCTAGTCGTCAATCAGATACGTAGAGAATACGTGTTATCTAGCATAGATTCGAGAATTGGAAGTTTGAAGGATTTGATATTTAAAATAGAAATTTTCACCATCTTGCACTTGAAGCGGATGGTGGGGGAATGGATGATGGACCCGATCAAAATCTCATGGTTCCGTCGTCCCGGGCCATCGTGGTCCCTGGTTTACTTAGTCAGAGGAGGTAGTCGACCACCCTGATAGAAGGATCCTTGTCGGCAGTCATGGGTTGCTTCGTCCAAGGGGACCTTGTAGACATGGGGTGAATGTTTGTCTAAGGGGACAAATTTGGATCCACCTTAGCTAACAGTGAGCTTTGTACCCTATCGATCATATCCTATTAATTCATATCTCAAGGATTAGATGCCACTAAGGAACGCATTGGCTCTAGCCATAATCGGTATTTCGTGGTGACATTTGGCAGCAAAAACACTCAATTCAGAGAGTCCCGGGTCATAGCCGTTTATCCTGCGGTGCCATTTGGAGGCGAAACCGCCAGTTAGAGGACGCGTACCACATCCTTATTGGCAAGAGATTGTTTGAGAATGAATCCTAGTGATATTTTCGACTATGCATTAGCCTCTTTGTGAGCTGAAGTAATTTTCAGATTTGTCCACCTCGGCAAACTGTTGCGGAGGGTGGATGGATTTTGCTTCAAGTGCGTTGATGGATTTATTTGAATTAAATTGTTTGTTGCTTTGTACAGGTAGACTATCGTGTACTATTTATTACTTTCTGTAAGTGAATCATAGTGCACTAACGAATCTCCTGCTTTTGTTCATAGAAGCCTGCATTTGTTGTAGCTCTTATGTATTTTGCTTGTGGATAGCTTTCTTAAACACATCTTAAAGAACCAAATCGCTGCTAAGGTTCTTTGTGATCTATACATAATTAAATCACACCTCGTTCCTGATTGTTGTTGGCCACTTCATGTGGGTGATCATACTTGGAGCTTTATTCACCATGATGCCTTACTCATTCAAGTGGTCTTGCAATGCTTTTGTATTTGATTTTCACTTGTTTGCACTGATGAACTAGTATTTTGCTCGTATGTAGATATTCACTCGAATGCATCCAAATGTGTCACCTTGTTATGTTCATTGCATGTCAAACCTTTCTAGTGGCATTTGATTGCATGAGTCTTCATCATCATTTGTTGGAAAATTTGTATGATCATCTATACTTGTATTGTTGCATTCTCTTTGATTTTTTCATTGATCAATGCTTGGAAGTAAATCACATGTCCTTGATCCTTGTTGATGATCACTTGCAAATAGGATCACCCTCATGCTTCACTCATGAGTATTCCCCTTATTTTTATTGCCTGCGATGTTGGGTTCTACTTGCAAATTCCATGTCTTCAAAGAAGGTTCAATGCATACGATAAGTTTGATATCATCTTTCATTTGCACTTTGATTGAAGTAGTCACTTCTCAGTCTTCATTAGAGATTATTTCAGTTCGTACCTTTGTTGATTGTTCTTCAAGTTCAAATCAAGTTTATGCTCCAAACTTCTTCCCCGATTTGTAAATTTAAGCTATTGTCATTTGATTCATAGTCCTTGTTATTTGATCCAAATTTGGCATGACAATTCCACTGTTATCATTCAAGATGATCTATTTATGCTCATTTGAGCTCTTCTGTGTCATTTTCAAGTTCCTTGCTTGAGTTCAATTGTATGTCCAAGTTACCTGTGATCTTTTGAGATTAAATCATGTTCGAGCTCAAAGCACAAGTTCAAGTCCAAAAACATGTTCAAATAAAGTTCAGGCTCAAAATGAGCCTCTTTCGTTCGTCGAATCTCTTGTTGTTCAAGTTATGTCCTTTTCCATTTTAAGTTCACTTGATTCAAGTTCTGAGTATAGTTCCATATGGTCAACTTGTATGTTAAGTTCAAATTCAAGTTCAAGTTTGAGTCTTTGTTCAATTCAAATTCTTGTGATTTATTTAAGTTTGAATTCATTTAGATGTGGATTTTTTGCATCAAAGTTCACAAGTCTGAGTCCACTGTTGTCCTTTTGAGTTCAATAAGTCCAAGTACGATATCGTGTTTAGCCGAAATTTTGGCAGCCTCCCGACGTCTCCCCCATTTAGGGGAAACTACAAGAAACTGGGCATTCCAACCATGCGCAATAAAGGCATGTATGGTATGTGTCCTTAGACGTCATGGCCTTGATTTTCATTCCCACCACGCACAATAAAGGCGTGCATGGGGATCTTCGAGGGTACCTATTTAAAAAGACAGTTTGTTTTCCCCTCGCTCGAGGGTACTT